TCGACCAGCCTTCTTTTGATCACCTGTGCAATGCACTTCAGATGCAGGGTATAAACATTTTTCCAGAAGAGAGGGGAATGCTAACCTCCCCGATCACGTAGCCGGGCCAAATTCCTGAGACCACCCCTGAAGGGAGAAGGTGGAGGTGGATGGAAAAGAACACTAAGCCCAATGGGGATAGACAGAGCAGCAGATGAAAGCACTAGCCTTTCACCTCTGAAGACTGGTTCAGATTTGAGGTTTGGCGGGCTCTGCTTGGAACCTAATGGGTCATTTATTGCACACACATATGCAGAGCCTGGTCTGATGAAGAAGCTTCTGTTCAAACAAGGATGTAGATAGCGACTAGTGGTAGGTGCCACAGGATAAACCAGAGGGCCTAGCACCCTGTGTAGGAAACTGGGAAGCCAAATGTCTCTCCAACAAAAACAAGCAAGCCCCCAAGAAACTCAGTGGGTACAAAACAGAGCCAAAAACAATCCCTCATCTCTAGAGAGGATGGTTTCCATCCCATTTCACATGGGGCACAGCATCATGAAGGTGGGGGCGGGTGTATAAGCTAGAGAGTTTGGAATCTAGAGCCAAACTTTTCCAAGCCCTTTAGTAACATTCAACTAACCAATCTTCACAATAAGAGACCCCATCTTCACAAACAAACCTCCGAGATCTGGGCAGCCTTTACTTCTGGGTCTGAATCTAGATCTGTAATTAACAGCTATGAATCTCTAGAATGAGCTGAACCAAAGCCCTGAAACCAAACACCCAGGAGCTTGGAAAAGTCTGGATCTAGATTCCAAACTCTCTAGCTTGGACAAAAACCAAGCCCCACCCATCTTCCTGAGCATTCATCAGCTCATAGTAATCGTTTCGCAACCCTCTTCACTCCTGACAATTACAAATATATACCTTTCCCAACTGGATGCAAAGGTCTCAATATTGGTCCTCTGCAAAAAACGTGGTGCCACCTTGATAAATAAACCTGGGTTGCTGGGTTTTTCCCCCTTGCCATAACTAATAGATGAATTCTTGAGTGGCTAATTCTTCTCGCCAGCAAAGCCACTATATTTGTGAACTGACCTGATCCCCACAAAGCTCCCAACAGGAAGCTGAAATGGAATTTTAACACCACGCCAAGCAGCTCACATCCCCTCGCATCATGCATTATTCCCTCTGCACCCAGGAAAAGAGACACCATCAATCCACCTGCAGTTTTCTCTGTGTGAGCCAGCTCCTTCCACCACCTTTTCCTCCACCTCCTCCTCCACTGCCTACCTGAGCCAGCTGCCTTTTAGACTTTCCACACCCTTCCTGCTAAAGGAGCACAAAGGCTACTTTGATTTATCTTATTGACAGAGACCACAGCAGAAAAATACAAAACCTGAGGCCAAGACCAACAGCGAGGGCGAGAGGAGGAGAGATTAACCCTCCGCGTGCTTTGTCTCTGCAATTTGTGGCCTTGTCTTCTACAGGCATTCCTAATGCCCTCCACGATGCAATGATAAAGCAACACAAAACACAGCCATTACGAGTGTGGGCAGCGTGATGCAGGATGGCCCCAAGCAACACTCAAGTGGTTAAGGATCTCTAAGGACAAATAACGATCATGGGAACCAATGTGAAGCAGACTTGACAAGCCCTGACCACAGGGCATAGCTGAAGCTGCCTGCCTCCCAGCAGGACCCCTGCAATTATCCGTCAGCTCAGCTGACAAAGGATTATCACACCTGAGAACTTTGCCAAAGGAACAGGTAGAACACACATAGACACAGCCTTCTTGCACCCTCTTCACAGGACCAGAAGGCTGCATACAATCAATCTGTCGGGTCAGCTGTGCTTTGCACACAAGAAAAGGGGCACAGAAAACCTGGCCAGGTCCAGCTAGGCCCACGGTGTAAACTTTTAATACAAAACGTCCCAAAGCTCCTCGGGTAGCTACCCACCCCAGACACTTGGGGGCAGCCTCTGCAAACAGATCCAGCATAAAGGACTGCCCTGATTTACTCACTAGGCAATTCTACTGAAGTAAACGAGGCTTCTGAGTATATAGGCCAGGGAAGGATATAGCCCCTCAGTTTTATACCCATCAATTCAGACAAGTGGTGGTCTCAATATCTACAGTGCAAACATGCCGATAACTAGTGGGTTGCAGGTGGGCCCAGAAATTCTTACTCCATGCAATAAGACTCTCAACTACTTGCACCTTTCACCTGAGGACCTTCAAGACCTTCAGTCAGTAACTAAACATACTCTGTTTTACAAGTGAGCATTGGCATCATCTTACAGATGGGGAAACCGAGGCACAAAAAGGGTAAGTGACTTGGCAAAGTTCACAGAAAAGGTTAGTGTCAGAGCCAGGAATAGAACCCGGGAGTCCTCACTCCCAGTCTCCAATATAATCATTAGTCCACACTCCTTTCCATAGCTGGGAGTAGAACCCAGGAAGGAGTCTTGACTCCTGGTCCCCTGATCTATCTACTAGACCTCTCTCCCTCCATGATTGCCAAAAAGCACACAGATTCCCTAACTTGCAATCCCGCTGGATTACACTTTCTCCACACAAGATTTAACACACTCTGGCTTGGGCTTCATTATCTTCTCTCCACCTGCCTGGCAGTCCCAGGTAAATCCTGGACTTGATACCTATTAACATGCATTTTTAGGTTGCCCTTCCAATGTGCGCACACACACACACCCTTCCATAAGCGCTTCCTCAGCCAGTTTTCCGGCTGGCCTGGCAGCCTTCCAGGCCACACGTAGTCAGAGAAGTTTTCCTACCAACTGGCTGCAATGAAACGCGCCTATCGCTGCATTCCTGACAGGTCTGTCTACAGCACGCATCGACTGTATTGGATTGTACTGAATGGGTTAGCCAAAGTGCAGCTGGTAGGACAAAGGTTTATCAGGACCGCTCAGTCCCTGCACGCAGAGAGCCACTGGGCAAAGGATTCCCCCAGGGATATGAGCTGAAAGAACCAGTTTCCCCACACACGCAATCCTATCATTATTTGCAGTTTCCTTCCCACTCACCCGCAACAAGAAATCAAGAAAGACCATTAGCAAAGCCTAGAGTGAAGCCCTCCACAGACTTTCCAGGCCCCCCAGAGGGTGTCAGCCCCTGTGGAAGCCAGTCCAATCTCCTGCCTCTTCATTTCTCCTCTATCCATGCAAGAAACAAAGACGCCTTTAATTTAATTTCGCTCTGAACTCCTTCATTGTGGAGGGAACATCTTATAACACAGAGTGAGATAAATGATCTGGGTAAACCAAGTTTCCAGCAGCACTGTCTGAGCAAAGAAGCCTCACATCCAAGTCTTGTCCTTCAAAAAAAAAAAAAATTCCCTCTCGCTCAGCGTCTGTCCCAGGGTGTCAGTTCCCTTTTGTTATTATCTGGGGCAGCTATAAAATTCTAATTTAAACAGTTTAGCATGTTCTATGCCAAAAGGACAGGTTACACGATACCGTCAACTCCTGGATTCCAAGGCAGGATTTAGACAGAATGTTACCAACAGCCTGAGACTCACAAACCAGGATCTGAAATGCACATGTGCACACATGCATATCAGCCCCATTCCCACACGCCAAACGAGAGCACATAAACACACACACACGCGCGTAATGAGCTAGCACATCCATGCCTAGAAACGTGCAAACACCAGCATGCAAGCTCATACACCCGCACATACACTGACCCCCTTGCACATGTATGAAACATGCAAGCACAAAGTCACACGTGCACGTATCCCCCCTTTCCACAAACTTACCTCTCAAAGACACACACCCATCAACGCAACCACACGACACACATCATGCATGCACTCACACGGACTCGCAACCTGGCACATACATGCCTAATCAATCTACAAGTCCCTTTGTTTTCGGTTTTACTGATTTTTGCCAAAAAAAAAAAAAAAAAATCCTGAGTTTTACAAAAGCTATTAAATAATAATAATATTATTATTCAATTTTTAACAAACTTCCCTGGAACTTACATGTACAGAATTTCAAGTATATGAATATGCTGATTATGTTAAAAAAATATCCAACACATCACACTAGGTAGATGTGTTTCTGTTCATAATAAATTAGTCTAAGTATAAACATGAGACTGTCTGTTAAAGTATGGCTACGTAGTGGAAGTTACACACACCCAGGCATGTGAGGATGTGTACATCAGTATCTGAGTCCTAAAAAGAGAAGTGCCAGAATTCCCCAGACCTGGCTCCCTCCATAGGGATGGCGGCTTGGTAACCCAGTTGCCATCTCTCCTTCTGGAGCAGGCCTGGAAGTGGAAGAGGTGGAGGACGCAGTGTGAGGCGTCGCCCACTTTCACTATTTGTTCCTTTTTTTCTGTCCTCCCATCCCCCATATTTACCCAGAAAAGTTCACTTTCTGCAACAGCTTCCACCCCTCTTTTACATTTTTTTTTTTTTTTTTGCAATAAACACCCATAAATTCCCAGGAAACTTTAAGCAAAATTAAAACTGAAAACCAAGGGCCTCATCAAGCCAATCCCCAGACGGGCTGTGGGGCCCAGACATCATCCAGTACCCACCACCCGTCCCCAGACCAACCCCCCATGGCCAGCCGGGCCGCGGGCCAGCCACCAGTCAGCCACCCCCCTTCCAGTGCCCACCCCAGCTCCCCAAGCCAATTTCCCCATGGCCAGACGGGCCGCGGGGCCAGCCACCCTTTCCAGTGCCCCCCCCCAACCCCCCCCCAGGGCCAGACGGGCCGCGGGGCCAGCCACCCCTTCCAGCGCCCACCCCAGCCCCCCAGGGCCAGCCGGGCCGCGGGGCCAGCCACCCCTTCCAGTGCCCCCCAGGGCCAGACGGGCCGCGGGGCCAGCCACCCTTTCCAGTGCCCCCCCCAGGGCCAGCCACCTGCCCCCCTCCCCTGCCAGCGTCTCCAGGTGGCTCGGCAAGCCCCGCCCCGGGGGTGGAGCAAAGCGAAGGGGGCGGGGCGGCGCCGTAGGCCCCGCCCCCCGGCCGCGCCGCCGGTACCTCTCGGGGAAGTGCGTGTCGCGGTGCTGGGGCAGCCCCTGTTTCCGGCGCTGGCTGGACGAGTTGCTGGCCGCGGGGAGATGCGCCTCCATGGCCGCGGGGTTCCGCGCCGCCGCCTCTTGCCGCGCTCGGAGCAGATCTGCGGAGGATGGAGGAGGGGGGGGGGACAAGCCCGCATGAGCCTGCGGCCGCTCAGCCCCAAACCCGCCCCACCGCCGGCCGCCACCCCCCGCCCCCCGGGCCCGCTCCGGCGCCGGCGCCGGCCCCGGCCGGCCGAGCCTCCCCGGCGAGCGCGGCGCGTCTCCGGCTGCCCGCTCCCCGGCGCGGACTCGCCCCCGGCTCCAGGGCGGGCAGGTGCGGCGGGAGCTCGGCGGGGAGGGGGAGGAAGCCCGGGCCCGGGGCGGCCGGCGGGAGGAGCCGCGTCGGGGTCTTTGCGGCGCGCCCGTGCCCGGGCTTTCCTCACCCGGAGCGAGCTGGCGGCAGCGCCCGCGGGCGCGGGAGGAAATGGTGTCACGGGCCGGGGGCGTTGAGGGACGGAGCCTTCCTGCCCGGCCCGGCCCGGGGTGGGGGGGACGGACACGTCCTGAGCCCTCGCTCGCTCTCCGCGCTGCCGGCTCCCCGGCTCGCTGCGGCCGCCCCGCGCTGCCCCCCCTCGGCCGGCTGCAGGCCCCAGCCGGGGCTCCTGGGCCTCTCCTCCAGCACCCCCCCGCGCCCCGCTCAGCTGCCCCAGCGCGGCCCCGCAGGGCAGGCAAAGCACAGGCAGCTGGGGCTGGTCCCTTCAGCTCCAGGCTGAGGGGGCAGGCGCTGGGCCGGTGCTGGGGGGCGGCGAGCCCTCCGCCGAGGGGGCTGGAGCCGCGAGGCATCCAGTGCCACCCCACTTGGGGCCCAATGCAAATACAGGCAGGGCCCAGGGTTTACGAGCATCCATGCCTGCCCTCTGCCGGGGGGGGGGGGGGGAAGGCCCAGAGTTCAGACCCATAGCCAAGCTCCCCTGCTAGGTTCGACCCCACATGGCTACTTTAGCTGCCCCCGGGGGCGTGCCAGGGCTGTTTAAAGCAGCTCCGGTCAGCAGAGACCCACCTGGGTGCAGCATGTCAAGACCTGGCTCCCGTTCCCTAACTCTAAGTGCATGCCCCCAGGGCCCCTGCCCCTACACTCCACAGCTCCGTGGACACAGACTGTTGTAGTCCCATGAGAAGTAGCCCATGGGATCCAGGGCCACAGCTTGGGGGAAGGGAACTGGTTGCAAGAGTCACTGAACTGGGGGAGGGAAATCTTCCTATGGCAAAGGTTAGGGACAGAGCGACACTGGCCAGTTTGGCAAAGCCCATAGCGGCCCTAATAGGCCCAAACTGGTGGACTATTCAGAGCTACAGTTGACCCCGCTCCCCCCCCCCACACACACAAGAACAGACATATTGGGTCAGACCAATTATCCATCTAGCCCAGTATCCCGTCTTCCAGTAATGGCCAGTGCCAGATGCTTTGGAGGGAATGAACACACAGCAATCTGAGTGATCCAGCCTCTGTCCTCCAGTCCTGGCCGTCAAAGGTTTAGGGACACCCAGAGCAGGAGGCTGCAAACTTGAATCCCTGAGCATCTTGGCTAATAGCCATTGATGGGTCACACACAGCTTCCCCCTCCCACATAAAAGGCATGGCGCACACACAGAAGAGGACAGAGGACAGGTCAGGGTTGCAAAAGTTTTGCCTCCAGAGGCTCCACCCCACCCTCCCCATAGCCTCTTGCCCAGATCATGTTGTTCTCCCCTGACCCCCACAGCACCTCTGTGAACAACAGAACCATGGAGTTAACAGTAAGTCAGGGGTCTGCTTTCCGCCCCGCCGCTGCAGCAGTGCTGACTGGCTAGAATTCATATCCCAGCCCATGCTGCCTGCATATCCCTGCTGTCCTGTTAAGTCTCGCACAACACTTACTCTCCCCCTCACCTACCTGGAGCCTCAAGAGTGCCCAGAGCTTGGGGGGTGGGTGGGAGGGGAGGTTTGAAGGGAGGCGGCGGTTTGGCACTTGCAAACAGACTATGAAAAACATCTGCCTTGGTTGGGCTAGTGCGTGGGCCGCGCTCCCCGCTGGGAGGGCTTCTGCAGCTCAGCCTTGGGGCACACGCGGGGAATTCCATGGAAAGGTTTCAAGGGAGGTGGGGAATGAGTCAGGCAGTAAATCAGTCAATCGCTACAGCAGGGAGGGTAGAGCTGGCCGCCCCTGCAGCCTTTCTGGACAGCACAGGGCTGTGCACTAGGGGCTACTTAGTGGGAAGGGGGTTATGCTAAGCCCCATCTAAGCTCCTTGGGGTCACATCCAGTCACATCCCTCCTGCTTCACTCATCATTTGCAGCTGGAGATTCTCACTCATTTTTAAGGGGGGGGCACCTCACGTAAGGCGGAACCGGGGTCACTGCAACACCCCCCTCCCCACTGAGCTCCTGCTCCCAAGCTGAGCTCACTGAGCCTGAATCTTTCAAACCTAACTCGGAGAGCAGTCTCCCGCTTTAGGCCAAGTCGCTGAAGGCTTCTCCACACAGGAAACGAAACAGGAATAGCTAAGGGGGCTGCAGTTCACACCTCAAGTTACTTCAGTGCAAGGCAGCATGTGCGCACTGTTATTTCAGAATCTGAATGCCCTATTGCACAGAAACATAGCAAATGCTAGACGGGATCAGAGCCATAGTCGTAGGGCACAGTGATTCTGAAATAAGCATCTATATACAGACTTGCATCGAAATAACTAGCAGTGTGACTTACAACCGCTTTGGTTCCATTGACCATATAGACGAGCCCTGAGCTGCTCTGACTCAGTTTCCCCCACCTGTAAAATGGGGATATTAATTCCTCCCTGGCAAGATCATTACAGCACAGTAATTAACTGATGTTTGTACAGCATTCCAAGCTGGGCATTGCTGTGAAAGTGCCACACTTTACTAATTATTCTATTTGATGCATTTATCCACCAGAGGGACCAGAGCAGCCCAGGACGACCAATGAAAACGCTAAGTGGATTAGTTACAGATGAGACAGCCACCTGCGTTGTAAGAGACTCTTTCTGGAGTGCTACCCCACCACAGAGTTAACCATCAGGAGATTCCCCGCCTCCAGGCTGGGCTCCTTCCCCCATGCTGGGCTTGCCTCTCCTCATCTGCCTACACACAATGCCGGGGCACCCTACCTCTGCACGCTTGCACCAGCCCAGCAGTGAAACCTCTGCTACTGTCTGCATGACACACTGGAAAACACACAGACAGGAAACCCCCTCCTCACACCCACTATCTACTGCTCTGTGTCAGAGGAAGCCAAGAGAGAGCCAAATTGAATGTACTGGAATAAAGGAATAGGGTGTTTGTTGGAGTATGTATTATAATCATCATCCTTTGTACTTCTACAGCACCTTCCATGAAGCGCTCAAAGTGCTCTGCCTGCATTAACCCCTTAGCCATCACCAAACTGTCATAATTATTAATACTGTGCTTGTACTGCTGTGTGACAAGTCAATTCGCCTCTCCATGCCTCAGTTTCCCCATTTGTAAAAACAGGGATAATTCTTTCCTGCCTTTGCAAAGTGCTTTGAGATCCAGGGCTGAATCAGAGGTGCTTAAAATTATGCTATCCCCATTTTACTGATGGAAAAACTGAGACACAGGCTCGCCCACAGTCACCAGGCATGTGTGTGCCAGAGTTGGGAATAGACCCTCACGTGTCTTTATTCTCAGCCCTGTGCATTAGCCAGAAGACTAGATAGTATATAGTCATATATGTGAAGAAAGATTTCCTTTTACAAATTTCAAATATGAAAACATACTTTCTACACATGCTTGTGTGTGCACACACTGCACGTGTATGGCTACACATACACACCCCTCCCACACAGGCTGAGAACCTTTCCAGAAATGCAACAGCTATTTAAATATCTGACACCCATGCAAGGAGGCTGGAAAATGGATGCAGCAAGGGCATGTCCTACAGCTTTCAAAAAGCTGCAGCCAGGCCAAGTGCCCTCCAGTCAAAGGTTCCCCAGCTCCAATCTCTGAACACTATCCAGCCTCCTAGGTCTGCTTCCCCCTTTCGCTTCTTCTCCCTCTTCCCTTCTCCCACTCAAGATCATCTCGCAGAGTTGCCTCCACAGGGTTTGATTCAGCATGAGTCATTGACAAAGATCTAGCAACAGATTGTACAGTGCCGACGACAGTGGGGTCCTGGTCAGTGACTGGGGGTAGCAACACCAGCAGTGGCGACAGTGAGTAGATCTGAAATGAAGAGGGAGGTCCTGGAGCATCAAATCCAGGATAAAACCCAGCTGTGCATCATCACACTGCACTGCACCAGAGTTCCCCCTCATGCCTGCTTCAGGGCTGGGGAAGAGCCTGACAGACCACTCTCCCCACTGCCCCAGCAGCAAACACCCAGCCTCCCTCTGCATTTCCAGAGGTTGAAGTGGGGAACACATGGAAATGCAGCATCGTGGCTCAGGGGGTGGGTAAGGGGAGAGAAAGCCTTTCACCTCTAAATCACCATTTTATGCATAAGCAGCCTGCATGACACAAGTACTCTGGTCCAGTTCCAACATCACAATTAAAATTTACCACCACCCCGCCCAGTACTCTTAACAAAAACGAATGATGAGGAACACAGGAATTTGCTGGACGGTCAGCCAAGCAATGGTTCATCTCGCTCAGTATCCTGCTTCCAACCAGTGGCCACCGTCAGCTACATCAGAAGAAGGTGCAAGAAACTCCCCTGGTGGGCAGTTATGGAACAACCTGCCCCAAGGGAAGTTTCTTGCTAACTCTGAGTAGTTTTTGGCTTACAGCTTGGAGCATGATGAGTTATATCCCTTCTATTTTCTTTTCTATCCTATGGCATGTCACCAGGCATGTTCCCTTTACCCACGCAAGTGTCCAATACACGTCAACTGACCATGTTGACTGAACTCCCTTAGTGGGGGGCTGGGGTCCTCCCCTTCAGGGCTGAGACCCATTGGTGGAAGAGCAGGTTGGGGTGGAAAAGCTTGCACAGCCACCACCTGAGCTGTGGATAAACAGGACTTCGGTCCCTAGAGCACCTCTTGCCGCATTCATGTACATGCAAACTCATTAAAAAAAGAAGAGAGGGAACAAACATTAAAATGATCTATACTTTTAAACTGTAAAGGCACGTACGGGAGAGTGAAACCACCAGCCCCATCAGATCACATAAAAAGCCTGCAGAATTCGCCGAGCCAGGGACCATGCGCCTCCGATGTTTATAAATTAATTATCTGAAAAACCCAGGTCACTCCTTATTGCCATAGCGCCTGTAATTTAGAAGTCTGGCATGCAGCCAATTCCAGAAGCTGCATTGATCCGGAATGACTCCCCCGTATACCTTCCCGTCTCCTCCTCCCCTCCCGTCCCTCCCTCCCTCCCTCCCCCACCCCACCGCCTAGCCCCTCCTCCCGCACCCCAGAGGAGCTGCTATTTACAATCCTGCACTCTGACAGTTGGGAAATCGGGGTGATTGACACTGCAATGCTGGTGGATAAAGGTTCCAGGCACGGAGACGGCCTGAATTCAGAACACGGGATGCGTGTCGCTGGGAGGAAGGGAGCAGCCTACGCAGCGTGGGAGGGGGAATGGGAAAGAAAAGCAATTAAATTATTAACATTTTCTAAATAATTAACGTTACTGGTGCCTCCGTCTGAGCCTGCAGATAAACTGCGCTTTGTTCTGGCACTAATAATTTATAGCCCAACCTGTGGTGTGGAGCGAATCCAAAACACACTGAAGTTTTGTCTTGTCAACGTCACACAAGAAAGCCTGTCTGTGCAGCGTCCCCCTCTCCTCCTGCCCAGCCCGAAACCTCAGAACCGGCACCCCCCATGCTCCCAGAAAAGCTGAGGAGGCAGTTTAATCATAATTTTTAAAAATGTCAGGCTCCTGACTGCAACGAGCTGCTCTGGAGACAGAAGTGCTGTGGCATCAGCTACTCTGGTGCACGTGCTGTGCCTGGGGCAGGGGGCGGTTTCCGTGTCTGGTGCCCCATTTGTGCCCAAGTGAGTTGGGCCTTTGTGTTGGCCTGTTGTGAGTCTGTGTGAGGAGCCTGCGTACATGCATGTAGCTGTGTGTTGCATATGAGTTTACGCCTCGGGCCAGCACACATGCATATGTTGCGTATGGATTTGTGAGTTGCGCCTGTGTGTGTGTGCGCTGTGTACCCATGTTGTGCCTGTGCTATGTCTGCTGTGTGTACTGTACCTATGTGCAGGGACGTGTTGTGTGTCCAACATGCACATGCTTATGCATGTGGCACCTTTGTGTAAGCATATGTTGTCTATTGTGCTTGTGTGAATACCCAACATGCACAACTTGTGTGTTGCACCTTTGTGTAAGCATATGTTGTGCCCCTGTATTGTCCTTGTGTATACTGTACTTGTGCATGTCATGCCTATGTGCATTTGTGTATTGTGCCAGGGCACACTCACTGTACATGTTGCTTCTGTCTACCAACTCGTGTTGTGTTTGTGTGTCCTGTGCCTATGCACGGGCTGTGCATGCCCTAGGCTTGTGCGCATTGTGCCCCTGTGGAGAAGTGCTGCGTGTCTCTCCACAGCGCCTGTGTGCGTGTTGTGGGTGTGCTGTGCTCACATGCATTGCGTGTCTGGGAAGGTGCGTGCTGTGCCTGTGATGCTGAACAAATCCTAACTCTACATGAAACAGGATCACCTTCCTGCCACCCAGAGAAGCAAATCAAATCAAATGGAGAGTGGAAGGGGAAGGCAGCCTCTTTATTAACCTAACAAGCAGCCCTGGGGATTTACTCCAGATTGGAGATTCTCCTTCAAGTCTTCATCAGATACGTTGCTAATGCTTCTCTGCCTCTTCCCCCCCCAACCCCCTCTCGCTTTCTTTCTCTCTGGTTAATCCATGCCAGATACAGTTTGGCAGCCAAAGGCTTTGCGTAGAGAGAGGTGCAGAGGAAGAGAGCTGGACGTGGACTAAGGGAACTTGTGCTGTGTAATTTCTATCTCCCAGTGACACCTTCTCCTTCTGTGCTCAGATAGTTGTCAAATCTCTCGCCAACAATCCCTCCGGCTCCAAGGCAGCTCATTAATCCACCCCTCGCTCCCCCAGAGAGTCGCCCTGGGACACCCCCTCACTCACCTGCTCTTGCATCAGAAAAGGCAGAGGGCACATGCACAATTAACGGCTTTGTTTTGACCACAGCCAGTCCTGTGCCAGCATGTCACACATGCACAAGAGAAGGGAAGGTGTACATACAGACTGACACCTGTACAATACGTGTGGGCTCTCTCACCATGACCCAATTTCCCACTGGCTGCTTTGTGAACAGACTAGCGCCCCTATGGGTGATGCTCACGATACCTCAAACACCGTGCGACTGGCTCTGAGTTGGGCTCCCCAATATGAGGGACAAATACTTTTATTTTTATTATTTAATTAAAGCACAAACCATAGGACTAGAGAACAAACTCCCCCGAAGAAGCCGCTATATCTGCAGGATAATGGAGCAGAAGCAGCAAGACACAAACACCTGTTCAGAACTGGGAGTTGTTTTTAAGGCCTGGGTTGTTTCTTATTTTGCACTGATGTGGCTGCACTAGAGCAAATCCCTTGTGGAGACAAGTTGCACCAGTGTAAAGACGGACTGGCACCCACGCAGCTTATCCGACTTTAAGTCTATGCCAGCATAAAATACCTCCTACACTGGTGCAGCACCATCCTCCCGCGGGTTTGCTCCATCCATGCAAAAACACCCCACTGTAGCCAAAGCCCAGGCTACTCCAAATTAAACAAGAGTGGGGAGGAAGAATCTTGGCTTCCCCCAACACCCAACCCAGGGTTAGACAGCCCAACTGTCCTGCCTTGTTGCTGGTGCTTTGTGGCTGCAAGGAAAGCAGTGCCTGGAAGCTGCCTACAATATCCTTGTGGCGAAGCTCTGATGAGACTCTCACAACAGGAGTCTGCTGGGCCCAGAAGAGGTTTCTCCCTTTCAGCTCCCAGGTTTACCAAGCCTCTGCCCACATCAGATCTGGTTTCAGCTGGTGAGGGACAAATTCATCTCCAGAGCAATGAAGTTAAACACCAGGGATGAATCTGTCTGTCTATCCCCAGACACACATTTCCCACTGGCTTATGCATTCTCCTGCTGAACAGTTTTCATTGCTTTTCTCATTCCTAAAAACACGGTGAATTTAATCCTCGTAAGATGGCAGGTCATAAACACCAGCTACAGCCAGACACACTGCAGGCAGGTGCTACGGGAATTTCCCACGCACAGCACTGCCAATGCCCTTCAACTACATCCTGCAATGCTTCACGCTACTCCAGTGCTGGATCCTCTCACAGAACTGCCGCTGCACGTCAGTGACCACGCCCCCTCATTTGTCCCAGCCCTCAGCCTCTGCTCAGCCAAACCTGCCAACTATTCTGGATGATGCCAAAGGCCGGGGTGGGCTTGTGGAGAGATGAGACTAGGCAGAGACCCACTAAATTCACTTCACTTGTGACCAAGTCAGACTTGCACCAAGGATTCTGAATATTTGGGTTGACCGTCTCCAAGACAAAGAGAAAGGAGGAAGGGGAGAGGACCCCGCGCTACTGATATGCCTCTAGACCTGCTGCAATCACAAGCTAATTGTCTAAGCTTCTCAGAAGCAAAGCTCACAGCAGAGCCACTCCATTCTCACCGCGAGGTGTTGTTACAGCTGCTAGATAAAGTATCAGAGATCACAGGGAACTTAATTCAACGCGTTACAAATCCAGCCCATTCCTCCCCCCGAAAGCTCGTACCACCGTGGCTGGGGACTGCCATGCTGTTGGCCAACTGGTAGAGACGCTGCTGCTCCTCGAAGGTGCTGTGTTCGTTCAGAGCCGACATCATCCGCCTGTAGTGTTCCTCCGGGGTCATCTGAGTCACCACGTCTTCGAGCACGGGCGTGTGGGAATTGTCTGAAGAGCAGAAGGTTTTAAAAGAGAGAGAGAGAGAGAGAGAGAAGACATCACATCAGTGCAGGAGGACCAGAGGACTAGGCAGAAAACGAAAGTCAAGTGATATCCTCCCTCAATACCACAAAACACATGCCTATGAACCTGACACACAAAACCTCCAAATTTAACCCTGCCCCCCCCGACACAAATGCATAGGCACCCAACCCCCCCCAAACACATGCACACCCCCCCAACACACAAAATCTACAGACCCAACACCCCCAACCACGTATATATGCTCCCAACACCCCTTCCAAACACACACACGCAACACAAAAAACTTCAAACTCAGCACATGCACACACACACACTCTTACACACTTGGTGGATGCCAAGAGTGTTACATTACAATCAAACAAAATTACAGGCAAACTCACTTTACCTAAGGGGGTAAAGGAGGACCGTTGCTGCCACAAACACACGATGAAAGACGTACTGGATTCTCCTCCACTCCCCTGGGGGATGCTAGTTCTCTTTTCAACTAACGCCTAAATAGACACCCACCCCTTTTTTTCAAGCCTGCCATTTGGAACACGCTTGGAGGAGGTGGCTACAGAGAGGGGCAATGTGATCCCTCACTACGGAGATGCTCATTGCTCAACTGCTTCCTGTAGACGAGTTTGAGAACCGCAGTACAGGTAGCAAGCCACTAGTTTTGCTAGGAGCAGTTCTGACAACCCATCCGCTCAGCTATCAAAAGGGAAGTTACGGAAACAGGCTCTCTAGGTACTCGTACGGCTGAGCACCCGTCATGACAGTTTTTATCTTCACAATACTCCTGTGAGGCAAGCATGGGGACCGGAGGCGCAGGACAGAGTAAGGGATTTGCCAATGGTCTGTCACACAGAGAATCTCTGTGTGTGCTGGGAACTGAACCCAGGTCTACTGAGCCTGAGCCCAGCACCCTGCCCACAATTCTACCCTTGAGAGAAAGCGAATGGTCTTGTAGTTCAGGTGTCACACGGGGACTCAGAATCTGAGTTCCTTTGCCACAGTCTCCCTATATGACCTCAGCCAAGTCCCTTAATCTGACTCTATGCCTCAGTTTTCTCATTTGTAAAATGGAGGTGATAATCTTGCCAGCCTCTCAGGAGCACTGTGAAGGTAAATTAATTAATGTCTGGGAGGTTACTACAATGTAACAATAGTTATAAAGGAGATGCAGTTATCACACGCCCCCTTCCATGCCCCAACTGGTTTGACTATTCGCAAGAGAGGAGCAGCGATTGTCACTTATTCAGAACGCTGCAGCCTTGACCTACACCTCATGACGATGGGTGCTGTGAAGAGGCAGAGGACAACTCCACAGATTCCCTCGTTAGCGTAAGTAGCTGAACAAGAATCACCTGATGTCCAAGTAACAAGCACATGATTCTTACCTGAACCCTGAAATCAGCTGGACGCCTAGCCCCCAGCAGGGCCACAAGGGGAAAAAAGCCCATACAAACTACCCCACCCAGCCCTGAAATAACTTATGGGGCCAACCCTCCTCCCATTACTCACAGGTGCAGTACCAATGTCTCCAAGTAAGGTGGGCAAGTTCTGCTTCCCCCCACTGAATCCACTGCGATTGCATGGATCATGAAGGCAAAAGTAGGTTCAGTGACTAATAGATTTACCGCATACATTCCTGCCTCCACATTCACCAAGCCTTGCTCTCTTGTGTGGGGCTGAATCCCTTTCAGAAAGGCCCCCCGGGCAATAGAGACCCCACTATAGCAACCAGGGGAGATAAAATCCAGAGCAGCTTTTGTTTATTGTAAGCAGAACTCAGAGGAATTACCACACTCACGCCTTGGCAGGGGCTGCTCTCACACTATTTTATCTTGGATCATCCCCACAGGCAAAACCCTTTCATTACTCACAGAGAAACTGCCAACAAGAGCTTTAACGGGCAGAGGGAACGGGAGGAGGGAGGGCTGCTGCCCATTGCATCGCGTCACTAGAATGCCAGCGCGTTGACTGAATGAGAGAGCAATCTATTAATGGAACCATTGTGTGCAAGCTCTGAGTTCTCTCTCCTTCGCTCCCTGTCTCCAAGTCTGAGCCTGTCGGGCCTTTCCGACAGTGCCGCCATGTTGGCCCCAAATCCAAGATGGCAGCAATGGGACAAATTCCAGTCACTTGACACTAGTGTCACCTGGGGATGCTGGTGCTTTGACTCGCACTCTGTCATGTGACTATAGCTATGTATACACCTCTCGGAGAACCAAGAGGTCCCCTGGTCTGGATATCCCCTGAAAGGACGATCACGGAGGGGAGCAAGTGGCATTGGAAAGGCAGCATGGTACAACGGATAGGACACTGGACTAGGACTGAGGAGACCTGGGTCTAATCCTAGTTCTGCCATTTCCCTCCTGTGGAAGTTCAGGCATGTTGCTTCACCTCTCCTTCCCCGTCTACTTTTCGCCTGTCCTGTCTATTCAGAGCATAAGATCTTTGGGGCAGCGATGCTCTGCCCCATGTGTTTATCCAGCTCCTAGCACAGCAAGGTCCTGATCTCAGCTGGGGATGCTACTGCCATAATCACTTAAAAAAAAAAAATGTTCCACCTCCTCCAAAACCCCAAGAAGAGAATGAAGCCGAAAAGCTTATAATATCCTGGGTTTCCAACCTCCAAACACCACCCTAATTCACACGGCTCCTTTCCCTTGTGAGTATAAAGCCCGGAGAGCGAGCGCATGATTTCTGCCCTATTTTGCTGGGGTCAACGACAGAGCTCCATTCAATTTCTCACCCAGCACAGCACTCTGCAACCAGGGCTACAAACTGCAACCACTAAACTACACCCTAGTGACGTGTTTCTGTATCTCGAGGACCAAGGACTTCCTGTGAAATTCACAGGTTCAAAGCCCGAATTGAGCTGCACCATTCTAGGAGTTGGACCCCCACCCCTTCAATTGGGTGCATCTGCCTCACAACCTAGTGACTCAAAAGAGGAGTGGTGGATAATTAGAGGCAACCGAGCAACTGCTTGTGCAGCAGGTGGCCGGTGCTTTCAGGAAGGAGCAAAGGGATTGGAATTCCCCTCCAAATCACCTCCCCCGACTCTCCTAGCTGACAAGACCGCCCACAGCCTCCTGCCTTCCTGGCACTCCTCCTCCCCAGCAAGCTCAGAGAGGCATCAACTGTCTCAACTCTCATCTGATGCTCTTAACTGGAGCTCTGAGGAGAAAAGCCACAAGACCCAGACCCCGATTTAGGAAAATCACTGAGGTTTCTTCACAGCCGTGTCATTAGGAAAAAAAAAAAAGGGGGGGGGGAGATAATGACACTTAATTACCATAAACTCTATCCGATCAGGCCCAGAGCAGATTTCAGGTGCAAGGTGGGGGGAGGGGGGGGAAGGGGCGGGGAGGGGGAGGGGGGAAAGCTGGATTTCCACACTTCTAGTTGGAGATTTCACATGACTCAGCCAGTGATAATTCCAGCTCCGTGGCAGCTTTGCTGTCTGCTCTTGTCATTACCAGGGGGTAATGCGGGAGACTGATCTTGTCAAATCTCCTCCAGCCGCCAGGTGTGAAAGGGACTCCAGTATCGAAGCTCAGAAGCAAGGGCCTAGACAGACATCTGCTTGTCTCTCTGCTGCTCTCCTGGCCGGCCCCCCACCAAGGGCTCCGTGCATGCAGCTCTCTCCCCATCACTCTCTCGCTCTGTCAACACAGCGACAGCCTCTGGTGCCCTCCAAAATGTCAGGGACAAGGTAACCAGACCTTCAGAGAGGGCAGGCTCTCCGCAGCTCTGCGATGCGGACTACGATTCCCATTGCCCCCCACCGCTGACGGCCTCCCCCCAGCAATGACACACTGGGGACTTCACAACTCAAGGTGGGAAAACAGGTCCCTTTGCTTGAGACTCGTCCCCCGAGCAAGACATCGTGTAATTCCCCTCCACTAGGGCTTACCGCAGATGGAACCTTTCCTTTAACACCCACTAGCTAAGAGGCAGCTGGGAACAGCTACCAGCCCCCAGGAAGCCGGGCTCCCTTCCTGGTTCCTCTAATCAGACAGAGAGGGCAGCATGCAGCATTGCAATTCTCGGTCCCTTGCCCTGTGAGCTCAGCTACAGCCAAAGACTCAAAGCCAGAGCTGAGGGTTAGGATCATGGCCACCTGGGTTTTCTTGTCCCAGCCCACAGAGCGCCTGCTCCTGTACCCATGGCAGTCCAGCAGGGAGGTTTGCTACCAATTTCAGTGGGAGCAGGAGCGGGGCCAGAATATTGTTCTTCAATAGATGTTTAAGTGGAGAGAGGTCCAGACCAAACACATGGATCTGGAGATCCCCACATTTTGGGAGAGTCTGGATCTGAACTGTCCAGCTCTGGCCCTCGGCCAGAGCCAGGTCTGTTTTTGTAAACTAAAGATCCTAAGTAGTGCTGGTGGTTTGTAGGGCTATTTTTTTTTGTTTTGTTTTTTGTTTTAAGTGATTCACAGAAGGAAAGAAGAGAATGGCAGCCCCACGAGGTCATCCAGCCAAGGCAAGATCGCTCCCTACCGCGTATTTTCCAGCAGCTAGTCCAGCCTGCTTTTAAATCTCCCCATCTGAGGAGGTTTCTAACAGATTTATTTTTCAGCAGCTCAGATAGGGGAGGGAAAAAAAAACAAAAAACCCTCTCTCCCTGATTTTTCTTCTCTCTCTCTCCCCGCAATAACGCAGTTTTATTTCCTGTCTCCAGGGACCAGAGGAGCACATCTCCAGACCACGCTGTTGTTGTGGGAGTGAACATTTTGCTGGGGAATTGTCTCCCAGGGAGAAAGCTTCCTCCATGACCTGCCAGCGCAGCCCTTGCTCTGAGCCTCTGATACGCTCACATTTCCATATTAGACATGAGAACGTTCTGCTCTGTTTGACAGCAGTGCTGGCGTGGCCCCGTTTCCACCGAGATAGGGCTCTCTTTTGATCTCTGGTGTGTGCACCGGGGAGGGGGAAGGGAAGGTTACCACTTCGGTGCTGGAAGGGTTTCCAGCCCTACAGGTGGTTTTTCACTCAGTCAGAGAAAAGGAGTGATGTCCTCGGCTGCCTCTGTTCTCCTTGCTTTGTGAGACATAGCCACAGTGTCTCAAGATAGGCCGCGGGCGCAGGGTCACTTATCCTGGTCAAAAGGCCGTTTTGGAGACAATGCTGCCGTGCCCGGAGTTGCAGCTGCATCTAGGGCCGGCGTGTGATCTTATGGGATAGGCCCTTCCCATGGGGTTGTAGGCAGGGCCGAGGCAGAGTTTACACAAAGCAGGGGAGCAGCCGCCACAGGCCACTTTACAAGTGCCCGAGCAAAAGACCCCAGAAGATTAGCTGAACCACTGGAAAGCACAGATCTCCTCTAGCTCACCTGGCTCCTAAGGGAACACTGCCTGAGGCTGGTCGAGCCACTACAAGGTGCCACGCTGCGAGGGGATTAGAGGAGGGACAGGGGCAGGGAAATTCAGGCCAGGGTTTTGCCTCCCTCACTGGTGCCACTGCCCACAACTGCAAATTGGCAGACCCGTCTCCCGTCTAGTTTTGCTGCTGAAAGCAGCAAGCGTCCCACTGTTGGAAAGGAGATGGGGGCAATCCAGGAGCTGCCGACTCTGCACAGGGTGTGCCCTTGCATTGCTCTTGCACAAGCCCTGCCTGGGTGCCTTTCCAGCACCGCTTTAGCTAATTAAGTGATGTATCAGTGGATTTGCAGGTGGGCTCTTTCCACTCATCTCCCACCTGCACATGCATGGACGTGTCCCAGCCGCACAAACTCCCTCTCCTACCAAACGCCTCAAGACAGGTTCTAGGTCACCATGTCTCAATAACCCAACACAGGTAGGTGTCCACTTTCTAATACTCCTGGAAAGTCACATGTTTGCCAGGGTTGCTTAGCAGCTTGTCAACCACCCTGGGGGGAGTCAATCCCATCTGACAGGGGGAAGCGCAGGGGAATCCTGCAACAAGGAGGTATGGATGCAGCTGTCCTGACACAGTTAAAGGGTGCTTCCCTTCTGCAGCACAGACAGCACCCTCGGCACGTTTTAATCCCACCGTTGAATTACGGTAAAGTCTTGGCTACGGCTGAATTTGCAATGCAGGCAGGCAGAGCTAAAATGCTGAGTCGGTGTTTCAATATCTATCTTAGGCACTTATATGGCCTCCACCAGCATAGTATCTAAGTACAGCAGGGATTCGAACCCAGGTCTTCCAAGTCCTTAAGTAGTGCCCTAACCACTGGGCAATGATTCCTCTCACTCTTTCCTGTACGCAGGTGGAAGATGAGCTTCCCTACAACGCCCCCATCCACACTGAGAAACTCATTGAACGCTTCCCTCAAGTTGCCTTTCCATGTAAAGAACTACTGGTGCTACCTTAGGAACGTTATGTGACTGTGAACACGACAGGAAGCGTCCACAAGAAAATGTCTCCATTAACAAGAGGCCCACATTATTCAAAAGAAGCATGAGAATGTCTTCTCTAGCCTCTCCAAGCAACTCGCTGCCACAAGATATTCTTCCATGTCTGTACGGTGCCTAGCACAAGGGGGTCCTGGTCCATGACTAGGGCTCCTAGACAGTACCACAATACAAATACATTATAAACAATACTAATATCCTTGAGGTCAGAGCTCGGCACGATTCAAAGAATGAGACTTTGCAGAGATAATGAGAACATTCACCGTTGTAGCAGATAGGTTACGTTCTAAAAGGACATAAACTGGTATGCTTCAAAGCATAAGCCACTAACACTGAAATTAAACACCCCCGGCTGGCCCAGGTCAGCTGACTCGGGCTCATGGGCCTTGAGCTGCATAACTGTTGGGTAGACATTCTGGCTCGGGCTGGGACCCCCGAAACGGGGAGGGTCCCAGAGCTCGGGCCCCAACCCAAGCCCAACTGTCTACACAGCAATTGTTAACCCACAGCCTGAACCCCATAAGCCCGAGTTAGCTGATCTGAGACAGTTGCAGCTGTGCTGTGGGTCTTTTATTCCAGTGTAAACATACCCTAAGTCAGTGCTTCTCAAGCTATCTGATGTGGGGGACCGGCAATTTTTTTTTTCCAATGTGCGCGCGGACCAGCAGCCGATGGCTCGTGGACAGGCACTGGTCCGCAGACCACCACTTTGAATAGCACTGCCCTAAGTGACAGGGATTGGGAAGAACCATCCCCTGTGGGTAGGACAGTCCATGCCTGGTTATTATGGGGATTGTAAACCTTTCTGTGAAACAGCTGGTGCTAGCCATTGCTGAACACAAGATACCAGACTAGATGGACCATTGGTCTGATCCATTCTGGCAACTTGGATGTTCCAGGTTCCCCTAGTCTATAGCTCCTCTAATCTACACACAACACAAAACAACACCATTTACACTGCTCAGGGGAACCTCAGTATTCAGTGACAAATAGCGCAGAGCTGATCCCCATGTGTCAAAGGCCTTGTCCAGTACCTGGGGGAGAAGAACTGCCACTAAACAATCTCAAGACGTGTGTGCCAGAAGAGGGAGACTTTGGAGGTTTAAAAAAGATCCACATAGCTTAGAAAGCCTGTGTCAGTCTCAGGTTAGCCTAGTTTAAAAGCCAGGAAAGGCTTTCAGGGAAAGGAAAGAGTGGGGGGCAGAAAATGAAAGTGGAGTGGAGCTGTCACCCTTTAGGACTTCTGGGGAAACCCTGCTGAATGAGTCAGAAGGAAACCCCCATTCAATGATTCTGGTTGAGAAAGCAGGATTTAGAAAGAAGCAAAGGTGGGTAAGTGAACCCGGGGGTGGATATGCAAAAGTAAGGGTTGGCTCTGACCTGCCTCTCATTTCACTCAAATCTCCAAAGTGTGTGTGGGGGGTGGGGGGGGTGGGGGGGGGAAGAGGCGGCTTTGGCCCATCTCTGCTAGGACTGGATAGTTTATGGCTTGATACTGCAACCAACGAAGTCAAGTAGTGCTGACGATGACTCCCATTTGTATAAAATGGGACCCTTTTTTGGGGGGGTAGGGATAAGTGTCATAAATCCAAAAACTATAGCCTGGTCTTGAACAGCCTGATTAAAGTTTAGCTGCTTCTCAGCAAAACAGATTAAACTGCTACCACTGTGATTCATTTTCAGAGCATGCAATGGATAAGAAAGGGTAGAGGAGACCGAGTCAGCAGAAGCCTGAAGGTGGGTAGTGTGTGCTAACTCCTTTAAGGAAGCTGTGGCAAACTGTGGCGTGGTATTGCATAGCCTGACACTGAAAATCGAAAGCTCCTGTGTAATAAATGCATTTCAGCACCCACAAAGGATTCCTCCTGGAATATAGAGGCACTTCTGATGGTAACTCGGGGAGGGGAGGGCAACAGGAGGACAAGAAGTGTGCAGATGAACAAATGAAAGGAAATAATTTAGGCCTAGTGGATGGTACTGGCTGGGGTACCCATTACACCAGGTATTGTTAGCACCTGACAGGAATTCCTGCTAGACTATTCATGCATTCCTAACTGGAACAATTTGGAGATAAGAGGCAGGAAGAGGGTACATAAAAAAAAATGATTAAGAAGGAGAGTATGTTTCTAGGTAATGTTAGCAGCTACTGTACCAGGCACTATTCGCACCAATTAGCAGCCAACAAGGATTGCTTTTGGAATACTAATGCCCATCTAATCATAATGTTGGGGTAGGAGGCAGGGAGGGGATTACATAAAAAAATCTTATTTAGAACGAGAGTGTCATCCTAGGGGCTGTACCAGGCACTGCTAGAAGGCGCAGTACAAGGTATTTTAGGAAGCAGTGAACGTTCCACAGTAAAACGCTGCATGCTGAAGCCCCCTTGGAGACCATCTGGTTTGGTTAACATGGGGGTGGATTCATTCCCCCTCCCTCCTTTTTAAGAATCTCAGCTGCCGGACTCCAACCTCATGAAACAAGACCTGGCCAGTTTTTCTTTTTTTTTTTTTAAATGGCTAGAAGAGCACAGGTTAAGCAATAATGACTGAGGTGGGCATTACTGACAGCTAATTAGTCTGACCTTAACAACAAAGCCTCTAAGTGAACAGCCTGCAAAACCTCATTTACGCAACCCTAAGACGAACTCATTAACTGCAGGCTCCATTACCCATTCCACTTTGCCGGTCGTAAAAAAAAGTTTTAAAATCATGTTTATGGGAGGGAAGCATAAAAATAAATAAGGAGATTTAAATAAAAACCCTAAAATTAAAAACAAAACATTCCCCCCCCAACTCTACAGATTCCATCTATAGAGGAATAACTTCCTCAACGCAGAAGGACTATCTAGCTGGACTTTTACTATACTCATAATTATATACACACAAAAAGCAGATGCCAACATGATAATGCAGTGCGTGTCCTGTATTAAATATCCAAACCAAGGCACACTGCCTGAAAAAGACACACACCCCCGACCCACCTCAGGAGCTCCTGGCTTGGTTTTTAAACCGTAAAATAATCAGTCTAATTAAGGGAGATAATTCCCCCCCCCCCCACACACACACACACACTGATCTTCCCTCCACTCAGCTGAAGAGAACACTGTGCATTGGTAGCCTTCCTCACACACCCCCAGCTCAGATACTGGAAGCTCCTACTCAGCATCTCACATCCCTCCCTCATTAATTTCAATTAAGTTAGGTTCTTAAGAAAAGAAAATGGGGCGGGGAGAGGAGAGAGAGAGAAATAGCACTTACCCTTTGGGGACTCGCTTCGGGTTTTCTTGCTTTCTAAAGGACACTCACTGCTGCTGTTGGGAGAACATACTCTTCTCCTGCCTAAAATTTCATCTAGAAGAGAGAGAGGGAGAGAGAGAGGGAGAGAGAGAGGGACACAGAAATGAGAGACCTGAGTATCAGATAACGCTCCACTTCTTTCCCTTTCACAGAATCAACCAGAGAATTATTTCACATTTTGCTGCCCAAACACGGGGCGGCGGGGGGGGGGGGGAAAAAAAATCATCATTTTGAAAGCCCAGATCTGCTTTCCTAATCATGCAGTCCAAAGGGATGTAATGACTGTTCAAACAGTGATCAATGCAGTGATTTTAAGCTGTAAATTCTGAATCTAGTTTATTTCCTTACTGAGTTTCATCATTTGTTCGGCTGCCTTTTGTCCCTCTTGTGTTTCCACTCCTTTCATGCCCCGATGCAAAGCAACTGGGGGGAGGAAAAAGGGGATGGGAGAGGAAGAAAAACAATTCCCTCTGAATCTTCCTACCACAGTATCTCTCTCTCTCTCTCTCTCCTCCTAAAAACCTCAAGGTCCTTAGCAATCTTCTCCCTCTAGACTGCACGGAAACGCTCGAGCCTTTTGCATTAGTGCAGCCCTGCGAGCCAACGCAAAATATCTAATATACAATTACAGCGTCCCCTGAACAGATTTAAAATCAATATCCTCCCATAATAATGCTGGGGAAACTGAAAGCATGAAGTTGCATACGGGCAGGAAGGAAGAGACAGTTTGTCACTGTGAGCATCAAATTCTCATTTCTCAAGGGCTTGTTAAAGATGCAGCATCTCAAAAAGCCTTGAAAACAAGTACCATATTTGAGAGGGTATATGTTGCGCCTGTCTATGAGTCAACATGAGCAAAGCACAGATGCTTTGCATGCAACATTTCTTATGGTTAAGAAATGTTACAATTCAAACCACTACTGTTTAACACAACAAAACATTATTTCCCTTCCACATGGCATCTCGATCCAAACCAGGGTCCTTAGCACTAATAGTCACTTTGCATTAATTCAAGTTCAGCTAGCTAAATCTAGTTGACTGAGCTGGCATTCTGTTTATCGGGAGACACAGTGTAAGAAGTTGTCGCTGACAGCGTCCAAGTGGTGAGGAGAACAGACAGTTAACAGGTGGAGGGCAGAACCTGCTAGGAAATGCCTTTATCCAATGAGGGATGTTAGAACTCTGCAAAGTTACAAGGTGGCATTTCAAGGTTTTAAAGAGCACAAGCTGCCTCTGATCTTATCTCACCGTGACCCTGTCACCCAGGCTGTTAACACCACCAGCGCCTGGAAGCATTGCAAAGGTCTGCAGCCATCCCTAACTGCAAAACAAAGTCAATACAATGAAATGGTGGCAATCTGAAGAAAGGATGGACTCAAAGAGAGTGACAGACCTTAAATCTTCAAGGCACTCCAAATTCAAGCCTTAACTCAGCCTTCAGTGGGGGATTGTCGTGTGCATTTTACAAAAGTGGAAACAAAGACCTGCCACACACACTGTCCACTAGCAGAGCCAATTTTGAAGGCTCTAAGGAGTACCTGGCCTGGCATCCTGTACTCAGGTCACAAGACAATGCCTCTCTCTCCTTCCCACTCCCCAGTTATCTGGGACTCCTTATTCTGGGTGTTGATTTGCCTGATTATTATACTCTTGTGCGTGCTGCAGACCTTTGGAGCTGGAGGCCAAGAGCCTCTCACCTTCTCTCATCCAGCATTTGCCGTTTCAAAACAACAAAGTCCCAATACTCAGCTCACCACTCCCAGGGGGGAAGAATCACATTAAGGCCTGATTTCATGCATTTGGGGCGGAGATGGTGCTTATGATTCAAATGAGGATTTGGCGACACGCTTACAGGTACGGGTGGGTTAGGGCAGTGGCTCTAAGCAGCTGTAGTAAGCGTCCATGACTTCACAGCTCTGCCGAAGCATCTCAGTCACGATCTAGAGTCCCTCCTCTGCCCTGCTACTTGAACTGCACAAACAGACGCACAGCTCTGTCAACACGCATTTGTTCTGACCTGCCTCACGTCACTCCTGACTGGCAGCACCCCCGGTACCTGCAAAACACTGTACAAACATCCACAAGTGACTGGCTCTGTGCCCTGGTCTCAGAGAGCGCTCCGCCACCCGAATTCCTGAGCACCATGTGCACAAATGCAGCGGTGGGTCAAACACACTCATGTGATTCGGGTCATGCTCTAAATAGAGCTCACTATTTTCCATCTGTAACCAAATCAGGATTTGAACCCAGCTCTCCAGACATGCTATGTTAGCATATTAACGCCAGCAAGACCTGCAGCCCCTGTCCCAGTATCTCACATCCACATACAGTCCTGAGGCTCCAAAAACCTCTAAATAATGTTATTTTGTTGTCAAATCAGCATGTTCCATTTTAAAACCTAAAGGATGGAAAAAAGCTAGGGGGGAAAGAAAAGATGACAAGACTCTTAATATACTTTCAGCGTGGGAGTTCTTTCCATTATATTAAATCTCTTCTCTGCTAAACCATGAGCCAACTTTGCATTTAGTGTTTTGGTTTTGGGGTTTTTTTTTTTTTTATTTAAAACATGTTTTACTGCATCACATTAGACAATGAGAATGAAAGACAAAATTGTGGTTAAGGCACGTGCCAGTGAGAGTCCCCTGGGTTCTATTCCCAACTCTGCCACAGACTACTTAACCATGAGCAAGTTACTTGACCTCTCTGGGTCTCATTATTACTTATGTATTTGCATTACAGCAATGCCTAGAAGCCTTAGCTGACACCAGGATCTCACTGTGCTAAGCCTTGTACATGCACATAATGAAAGATAGTCCCTGCTCCAAAGAGCGTGCAGTCTAAGCTCTCACAATGGGGATGAGAAAGGAATTATTATTGCCAGAGAACAGAGATGTACAGAGGCACAGAGTGACATGCTCACAATTACACAGGGAGTCAGCAGCAGAGCTAGAAATTTAACGCAGGTCTCCGAAATCCCAGGCCACTGGCAGTTCCTTTACCACAAGACCATCCTTGCTCTTCGCTTCCTTTTTTGTAAAATGGGGTATAAGCCCACCTCACAGAGGTAGCTGAATGGTTTCATTCATTACTATTTGTCAAGCCCATTGAGACCCTTGGATAGAAGGTGCTATGTAATGCAAAGATTCACATTATAGTACAGGAGAACTGGTCCTCTCCCCTCTATATCTAGAGCCTGGACACACCAGTCCCATCTGGGGAATATGTGCCCGGTTCCAGCACCTGCCACCACCCATCCATTCCAATACACCATTCCACAGGGGTGGCCTATCGAAATCCACTTTCTGGACACACACTAGCGGAAAGGAGGAAAAAAACAGACCCTGAATTCCAACTTTGAACAAGTTTCCCCCTAGCTTGGTGGCAACAGCAGCAAAGTGAGAACAGAGCCCAGGAGCCTTGGCACACAGGGGGTCACAGTGAGAGGGGAGACACAACCAAGTGTCAGCAGTTACAGCCACCTTGATCTTCCCATGTTGCTGAATGATGGGGGCCCTGGGTGGGTCCCCATATGGAAAAGACTGAGGACCACATAACAATGGAGTAGTATCCTTTCTTGTTAAAGGTGCTCACTTACTTCCAATGGCAGGCATAGGCTGGGTCTATGCATCCCATCAATTGCACCTACACAGCTCGGGAACCCCAGCCATTCAAACCCCGCAATTATTTCAGGGATATTTCCAATTTTTCCAACTCAAAGGGTCATCACCACCCGCACTACTTCCTTTGCAAACCTCCATGACCACTGCACCAATCACGGATTTAACTACCCTGAACTGATTGTCGACAGATCGGTAACAATCCAAGCTTGCCAGCTTCTGCAGGGTGATAGCAACACACTTCTGGACTGTCATGGCCTCTTTTCTCTGAGTGATCTGTGTCACAACCAGGGTCAGCCAGGCCTAGCAGCTGGAGCAGGAGCTGGAGTCAGGAACCAGGAGTCAAGCTGAGGGTCAGGGAGCAAGCAGGGCTGGAGGAGAGCAGGAGCAAGGCTCGGAGCAAGGCTGGCAGAGGAGTGATCGCAGCTGTAGGCATAAAGGGTTGACCAGCCCAACCTGCTGCTGAGCTTAAAAGCAGGCCTGCTGGCTGCCTTGTGCCCAGCAGGTCCTTGCTGCAATCCAGCTGAGCTCGCTAATCTGCCTGCAGGCTGGGCTGGCTAGCCCTCAGGCTCAGCTGCAGGAGCTCTCTCCTGCCAACCTAGCCACTCCGGGGCCCTGGCGAGCTCAAGTGCCATGGCCGTTTTCCTCCTCAGAAAGTTCTGGGCCCACTGCTGGCCCTCCTGCGCTCTCATCACCATGTAGCCGCACCACTCGGGGCTTGTGGTCTGAGCCAGAGGCAGTGGTCTGCATGGGGGCTGGAGCTGGACGAAAAACAGCATCAGCTCCATCCACGCCTCCATCTCCACATGGTCCCGTTCTGTTGTTGTAGGGCTTCTGCTTGTAACTGCAAGCTGCCGCCTTCATCTTCTCCAGGCCAAAAGCCGCCTCTGAAACACCTGGCACTGTCTCTTGGCAGCAGATTTTGCAAGGGCATGCCAAAGAAACACTGACTCCACAGAAAGCAGCCACTGCCGGCCCTGGTTGCTAGAGTGAGCAGGATCATGTAAGAGCCCACCCCCGCACCGCCTTGGGGTCTGCCAGGAAACGAATTTCCCAGGCCTAGACCACTTCCTCCCACAATGGGCAGAAAAATTGCCCCACAGCACCTCACAGCTCACTGTGAAAGTGAGCCCAGAGCAACGCAGTGGGCTGTGGCACTATGGATCACAGGATACTTGTCCTGATTACTGTTACTGCTTCTCACGGCCAGACACGATGCCAGTGCAGACGCGGGACAGCCGCATGCTGACATCAACAACGGGACCGTGCTGGAGCAGGGTAGGCGCTCATGCATTGGCTCACCCAGGATGACTGAACCCCTGGCAAGCCCACAAGGACAGCCTGAGATGCATTACCGCCAGACAAAGAGAGGGAACTGGGGCTGCCCTCGGGAGCAGAGAATACCTCCAATAGCCTTTTAGCAGCAAGAGGGATCTCTGAACTAACATCGAGGTTGAGCCGAGGAAGTCCATGCCAGTCAGTGCCACCATCTCCCGCAGCTCTCTGCTGTGATTTTCCCAGGGGAGCCACCTCACCCCCACAGTACAGGGCAGAATGGCTGGGCTCGCACTCAGTGGAATGGGGCAAATAATCACTGTAACAATCACTCAGCAGGTTCAAACATCGGGTGTCTCTCACACGGGGTGCAAACTTTTCCCATGCGCAGACAGAAGGGAGGCCAAGGGGCCACATTTGGTTCTTCTGCAGTGCACAGTGTTACCAATAACGGGGCAGGGTTAGAGTACCGCTCCTGCATTCCCTAGCCAGGGCACTGCTTTTGCTGCAGAAACACCTGGTGCAGCTAAGTGGGACCGAGCCAGGTTAGATGGGTGCAACCAAGGCTCAGCTGGTGAACATTTAACAAGTCAAACCGGCCTTTCCTCTCTCGGTATTATTTGAACAAGGGCAAACGTCTTTCCAGGCTCCTAACTCCCCGCCCTTCCAATTCAAGTCCTGGGTATAACAAACAGTTCCCACTAACCAGCCTGAAAGGTCTCAGAGGCATCTCAGTACTTTCTTTTTCCCTCCTCTGGTGCACGCAGCCTGTGGAAATATCCCCACTCCAGCCCAGCTGCTCAGTCTGTCCCTGCGCAGCGGGCGACAGCTTCGTGGGGATCCTGGAGGCTGCCGCCCTGGCAATGGGCTTCTTGGTCTGCTCTGAAACCGAGATGCAGCACCAGCTTGCCGAGTCCCAGCGGGCCGTGAACTGCTAACAACAAAGGCTGGCGAGCGAGGGGCCGCACAGGGTGGGTCAGCACAGCAGGGTGGAATCCTGCGGCCGATCAGCTCTGCCCCTCGCCAGCAGCAATCAATGGAACAAAGGGAGAGTGAAGCACAAGGTCATGGGAATTATGGGCCATAATTTAACTGAGAGCAATGGGTGTGGAAAAAAATTATTCAGGGAAGGTGGGGGAAGAGGGGGAAGGAAGGCAATAGGGCCTCTGGAAGGCGGGATCCCAATGCTGGAGAGTATAATGAGCAAACTTTGCCACAAGTTTACTTCTTGCAGAGAGCAGGGGAAAGCCCTGTAGTTCAACACCAAAACAGCAGCAGCGCAATGGTGTGGCTTTGGGCAGATCTGGAAACAATTTCTTTGCACCCTTCCGGAGATGGAAGGTTTCATCCCTCCAACAAGACAGCTCACTGGTTGAGAGGACTTCACTAGGTAAGGCAGCTGGACTGCAAGCTCTTTGGGGCAGGGACTGTCTTTTCGTTCTGTGTTTGAACAGTGCCTAGCACAATGGGGGCCTGGGCCCTGGCTAGGGCTCCTAGCCACAACTGCACTATAAATGATAAATAATAATTTGATAATGTAGTCACAAGTCTCTAGCCAGAGATGAGAGCACAGCAAGTCTCACAGATCTGGGCCTGGATCCAAAAACTCTGGCTCAGGATCGTTCTTAGCATACACCAGGGTTTCTGCAAATGTTGGAGCCAGGAATTCTCTCCCCAAACAGCAACGCTTTGGGTCCCCTGTAACAAAATACTTCTACAATGGGGATAGGGGACAGGCACAAAGGAAATCTCCCTGGGAGTCACTGCACTGGGATGGAGTATTTGAGGAGATGGGACAGGCTGATGGTTTCTCTTTCCCACTGGCTCATTTCCATGATGAGGTGCTGAATATGCAGTACTGTACTAACTAGGCCAGACTACGGTCTGGATTTGCAAAATCTCAGGGTGCATCTGCACTGCCATCAGAGGTCTGACTGCAGCTCTGGTAGGCAAACCCGAGCTAGCTTTCGCCTAGCCAGCGCAGCTGAAAACAGAAGAGAAGATGCAGCGGCACGGACCCTGTGTGGGCTGTACAAGCCCATCTGGAATCCTGGCTATGGACTTGCGTTACTAACCTGCACTGGGATCAGCACGAGTGCACATAGGTGCTGACTCCGGGGGTGCTCTGGGGCGGGAGCAGCCATGGGGACAAAATAGTGGGTGCTCAGCACCCACCAGCCACCCCCCGATCAGCTGTTCGGTGGCGGAGCGAGGGTGGGGCCTTGGGGGAAGGAGCGGAGCCTCAGGGTGAAGCACTCACAGGAAAAGAAGAAAATCGGCGCTACTGAATCTTCACTGCTAGCGAGATCAAAGCTAGCACGGGTCTGCCTACCCGAACTGCAATCACATCTTCGACTGCAGTGTAGACACACTCTGAATTTATTCATTTTCTTAAAATCCTTTCCCCTTCTCTCCCCATTTGGGCAGGCTTTTCCTGACTCCCCCTTGGAAGAGACTGGAGCTCCTGCAGGGAGATCAGCCTCAGAGTCGGGAAGAGAACTGGAATAGCTCGGGGCGCAGATCCGTTCTTGCAACTCACGCGGTAAGAGCTGATAAATAGCTCTGCAGCAATATTTAGACGCCACCCCCCAAGAAATGGATGGGGCGCTCCTCTAGCACCATCATCCAGAGACCTCGAAGTATTCTACAAACCTCACCCACCCCCAGGAGGTGGGTTTAGTGTCATGAGGTCAGACTGGACACTGACGTAAATGGGGCAGGTGAATGCTCAAGGTTACACAGAAAGTCGGTGGCAGAGATGGGCTTTTCACCCAGGGAATCCTGACCCAAGTCCCATGCTATAACTCATCAACGCTCTCCTCCCCAGGTTTGGAAAAGAACCCAGGTCTCTCCTGAGTCCCAGCTCTCTGCTGTAACCAGCAGGCACTCTGCCTCTTGCACAGCATGTCAGCACTGGCCAGTCAGTCACCAGCTGTCTGCGTCCATTCGCTTTGCATGAGCAGCAGCAAAGTGCCTCAAAGCTCAGCCCAAATACTGAGATTCCCAAGGAATGTGACAGAGGGAGGTGCGGGTCATCCTGGAGCCAGCCTCCAATCTGCCTGTAACAGGGCTGTTTATGAGCCAATGTGCACAAACGCCCCCTTGTCTCCCACTTCCCTGTGCAATTCATTTCTACAGAGCACACCGAGCCATAAAAAGGTGGTAAATATTCATAGTATGAAAAACACTCAGAGAGAGGATATGCTGAGCTTGAGAGAGACAATCGGACTCGTTTTATACACTGCCCAGAGAGTCCTGGTTAGCAATTGTGTGAGCCCCACCCCCCCTCAGGGAAGAAATTAGGAGGATATGCTGGGAGGTCTAGTGGTTAGGGCAGAGGAACTGGGAGGCTGGAGTCCAGGCTTCTATCCCCAGCTTGGGGAAAGAGTGTATTATTTGAGAGGCATTACAAATCAGGACTCCTGGGTTCTATCCCCAGCTCTGGAAAGGAGTGCGGTCGAGTGGTCAGGGCAGTCAGCCTGAGAGTTAGGACTCCTGAGTTCGATTCCCATCTCTGCTAGCAACCCACTTTCTCTCTGTGCTGCTCTGAAGCCCTCTGTACCTCAGTTTACCTGTCTGTAAAATGACAGGTTTTAGAGTAACAGCCGTGTTAGTCTGTATTCGCAAAAAGAAAAGGAGTACTTGTGGCACCTTAGAGACTAACCAATTTATTTGAGCACAAGCTTTCGTATGCATCCGATGAAGTGAGCTGTAGCTCACAAAAGCTTATGCTCAAATAAATTGGTTAGTCTCTAAGGTGCCACAAGTACTCCTTTTCTGTCTGTAAAATGGGTATTCTAACCCCGTACCTGCCTCACAAAGACAGTTTGAGCTGTAATCAGTGCCAGCAGAGGGCTCCGAGGTCATGGGATGAAAGACGCTCTTGGCAGCGAAGCACTATCCCACGGAGCCCCATGACCCCAGAGACCTCAATCCTGCCCCCCCCTCCTCAGGCTGAGCGTGCTCACTGCGAGCTTGCCCACATGTCTGCGTCTATCCTTCAGAGAGCTGCTCCCCTTCTGATTTCTCAGACCCATCCCACCCTGTGATAAAAACCTGCCACAATTGCTCCCTCGCCCTGAGATGCACCCCCAAAGCTTCCCCTTCTCCAAGTTCAGGGTGAGCTCACCATGGCATCGGAGTGCTCGCTCGTGCTGGTCGGCAGCATCACAAGCATGGCTTGGAGCCATCTTGCCCTGGAAGCCGGGCCCTCCTAGAGCAAGCGAGCGTGAGGGGGGCACAGCACAGCCTTGGCTCGTGGCCTCTCTTGACAGAGACGAAGCGTCTCATGTGTGTGGCCCATGCCAGCGTGCTGCTACTCCCTTAAACGCCCTGCACAGCTGCTGCGTCTGTGCAGGTTCCTCTCTGCACAGACCTCGCTGTGCCACTATCAAAGGCGAATGCTAAAGACAGTGACTCCAGACAGAGCTGCTGGTGGTGCCGTACCCTTCGCACCATTTAAACGTCCGATTGCACTCATTCAGCCCCTGAAAAAAACAGCGCTCTTCCAGCCCGTGACAGCTTTGACAGCCAGACTCCTTAATTCCTTTTTCTTATTCCCTTAATCTGTCATCTTTATCAGGCTGGGGAAGTGCCAGGCAGCATGCAAGAGACCCGGCCCCGATCAATCTCCACATTACAGCTGACAGAATGGTGCTAATAACTTATTGATCTCATGTTTGCCAAGCCCCACTGGGGCTGAAAGGCTGCCATTGATTGGCTTGAGAGAAAGAGCCCCTCGGCTGAGAGCAGAGCGGAAAGCCTTCAAATTGTCTTCTTCCAGAGGCACTCGCTGGGAGACTGAGGGAGGGCAGAGGGAGGAAGAAAGAAGGGGAGAAAGGAGGACAGAAACGGAGAAAAGTGTGTGTGAGAGGAAGAAAGAAGGGACAAGATGAATAAGGCTTAAATAAGGGAAGAGAGGAAGGAAAGTGTGTTTGGGAGAGAGGAATAAAGAAAGGCAAGGGAGAGAAAGGGGGAATGGAAGGAGAGAGGAGGAAAGAGAACGGGAGAGGAAAGGAGACACGTAAATGGAGGGAAATGAAGTAAGGAACAAAGGACAATCTGGAGCTGACAACTTTTAACAGACAGATTGATTTAGGGTATCCAGATAGCAAGTGTGAAAAATCGGGACAAGGGGTGGTAATAGGCGCCTACATAACACAATGCCCCAAATATCAGGACTGTCCCTATAAAATCGGGACATCTGCTCACCCTAGACAGACTCCCCTCTTTTTACTGACAGCAAAGGGTTAACTTAAAGCTCCCTCCCCCCATCCCCCCACTCCCAATCACGCTGCTCCTCCGGAGTAAATTTATGTTTGAATGCTGCAAAAGAGCGCAGCAGAGACAAGTTCCCCTGGCAGTGGTCAATACCACGCTCCGGCGTTTGGGGAGAGGGCGTCGGCGGGTGGGGGGGAGATTCATTGAGGAGCCAGCTCCCCACAGCCACACGCTCACAGCTGACACCTCCCCGCCGGTTCGATCGGTACCGCAGGCTAGAAGTTTGCTTCTGCCACAGAATGCTATTGATGACCCGAGTAATCACTGAAAGGCGTGGGACACTTTGGGGGGTGGTGGTGTCTTTGCCCTGTTCCACTGGGGCTGGGGGTGTCTCACCTGTGAACCAGGGTGCTCTTGCAGCCTGGGACTACCTGTACGGGCAAAGAGACACCCAGAAAATGTGGAATGCCCACAATAACGGCTACAACAAAAGCTCCTCTGAAACCACCACACACTGCTTCCCGCTGATTCCAGCTCAGCCCCAGGCCAGATGGTGGGGCTGAGTGCTGACGCACAAACTGACCTGAAGGGGGCATCAGTGAGAGGACCCTCTAGTTCCTGGAAAGGCAGCTGGTTCTCAGCATCGCCTGGAATGGTTTTTGCCAGTTTGGGGGATCTCACAACTGTTGTTAAGTCCACACCCTAGCAGGGCTTCTTCAGCCAAGCTGACCTGAATGGCAGGGGCAGTTTTTTTAAAAAAACTCTTTCTTGGCCTCCCCAGGGTCAGCTCTTTAATGTCACTCCTCTCAAAAAAAACAACCACCCAGCCAGGCCTATCTCCAGAAAGGAGGACTTCCCCCCAGCTTCCACAAGCTGCTGAGCCACACTGTGACTGCAGGAAAGAAACTAAGGATCAGACAGGTAGCCCAACGGCTTCTGCAAGAGCAACTAATCACAATGTAAGCTCGTCATTGACATACTGTGAAAAACAATTAATTAAAGAGCTACAAGCAAACCTATGCACTAGTGTAAGAGATACCGTTACTTCCAGGCATGGTGTGATTGACTTCACGGCAGCCACTTCTGATAACATACATATGCCTGGGCATGCACATGTATATACGTATGTAGTTACACACAAACATACACATACTATATATGCACACACACACACACGTGTGCACTTATTCGCTCGCACCCACACAAATATACATATGACACGAGCACACACTTTTGGGAGGATAAAATCTCCAAGCTGAAATCTATCGACTCATGGTGAGGCTGGGAGCAGCAATTCATTTCCCACACCCTGGCAGCAAGCGAGAGTGGACAAGTCAGGTGCCACATTACACTCCATATTGGATTTCTATATATAACATCAGTGAGATGTCACAGCTCCAATGATTTGTTTTTGGCTCTTTACTAGCTGCCTGTACGACACCTGGGGAAAGAGTTCTGTTTTGGTATTTGGGTGATGGGAGGGTTAGTTTTGGAAGCGGGATAATCTCGCTCTTTCTGGATCTTTAAGGAGAGGATGAGAGTCCGTGTTGTTTATTTCAGTGGCTCTCAACCTTTCCAGACTATGGTACCCCTTTCAGGAGTCTGATTTGTCTTGCATACCCCCAAGTTTCTCCTCACTTAAAAACTACTTGCTTATAAAATCAGACATAAAAATACAAAAGCATCACAGCAAACTCTTACCAAACAATTGTTTACTTTATCATTTTTACCTTATAATTATAAAATAAATCAATTGGAATATAAATATTATGCTTACACTTCAGTGTATATATCGTATGTAGAGCAGTATAAACAAGTCATTGTCTGTATGAAATTTTAGTTTGTACTGACTTCCCTAGTGCTTTTTATGTAGCCTATTGTAAAACTAGGCAAATATCTAGATGAGTTCATGTACCCCCTGGAAGACCTCTGCATACCCTCAGGGGTACGCATACCCCCCTGGTTGAGAACCACTGGTTTATTTCATTTCCCAAAATACAAGTCATGTTGGGAGTGAATTAGGTGGATTTCTTCCCTGTAAGGCTGCCTCCTCCCACAAAAGTAGGATTCATTGCCCTAGCTACATCCACTCCATCCTGCTAGATCCAGGCATAGAACAGGCCAGGGCTGCCTGAGCCTTCCTGTTTCTCCTCACTCAGCCGTTGCTACAGAGCAGTGCTTCTCAACCTATTTAACATTGTGGGCCACATATGTAGCTCCCTGTCCGTTGTGTACGCCACATCCACACAACATATATACTACCGATATAGCCCTGAGGATGTCACATGGGCCGCAGCTGTGTGCTGATTGGGCTGCCAGCATCCTCTAGTCTACAGCCTCTTCTGGGCAGCCCCCCATGCTAAGAGCAAGGTGGGTTTATCATTAAAACGTTACTAATGTCCACAAGGGACTCAGAAGAGCAACCTCCCCAAAATCAGGCCCTGACCTCTGCTCTCTGGAGGGATCCACTGAGCCACCTGGAAAGGAGCACTAAACTTGCTGGGAACCCGCAGGCAGCCACAGAAAATGAAACAAACCCCTTTGTGTCGGCATATAAGGGACGTGGGCCTGCTCTAAGGCCTGCTGAAGTCAACAGGAAGACTCACACCTTTTTTTTTAAACAGATGAAGATAATGAGATAAAAAAGGTTAAGTGACTTGCCCAAGGCCAAATAGTAAATGAGTGGCAGAACCAGGTTTCAAACCCAAGTTTCCTGATTGCCAGTCCAATGCCCTGTGCCCTGGCCCACGCTGCCACGAGTTCCAGTGCAGGGAAGCGAACTGCACTTCCACCACATGCTTGCATGTTGCTTCTTCACCTCCCAAGACCTGGGTTCAAATGCAAAGCAGGACACAACCACCAGCAGAGGCTGGTCGTCTCCAGCTCCCAAAATGCTTCAGCAGAAACAGAACATGAGAGGAGCATAAAGAGGGGAGGAATCTGCAATTCCAGCCCCAGATCAGAAGCTGGAGACCAGGTGTTGACTAAGGTCAGTCCCCCATGCGTAGGTAAACAGCTGCCCTCCATGATAACACGTGTACACAAAGGGGGCTGGGCTTCCCACCCTCATCTGCCCATTTGGAGCTGATTTTCTGCTCAATTTAAGGCAGCAATTCAATAAAGGCTTTTTTTTTTTTCTTTTTTTTTTTTTTTTTTGAAAGTGAAAACATGCCTGTGTCCTGGCTCGTTATCCCAAGCTCAGAAAACAGCCCATTCATTGCAGATCTGTCTCTAATCATTAGCTACAACATCCTTGGCCCGAGTTAACCCTTGCCTGGCTAGATGCAAAGCCCACTGAAGTCAAAGGGGATCATGCCGCTGAGAGTTCTGGCTCAGGCCCGTGGAGAGCAATATAAGGGATTTAACTAACTACTCTCACACACACATTCTTGGATGAAAATCAATATAAGGGATCTAACACACACATATACACCCCTTCCTGGAAAACTCCAACAATTTTTAACACAAGTCTATTCAATGTTCACTTCTGATTACACTATATTTCATAGCATAGCCCAGAGCACCAGACTTGGAGAACTGTTTCCTGGCTTTGCAACCCAACCCCTGTCTGAACTTGAATAAGACACTTCCCCTCTCTGTGCCCCAGGTTTCCAATCAGTAAAATGGGTAATAGCAATACCCCCTTCATAAAGTGCTATCTAAGAGCTAGGTATTGTCATCATCATCTATGGACGAACAGTATCGCATAAGTGCTAAGTATTCTTCTTCTGTGAAATCTTTCAAGGAGAAATCACCACAAAAAATAAAATAAAACATTAATTGTACAAAAGGTTATAAAATGTACCTTACAAACTGGAGGAAAAACATAACATTCACAGACTGTGGCCAGAGACCAAGAGAGAATAAACCCTATAGAAATTTGGGAGACTGCCTTTTGCCCCACTTGTCTAGACATTCTGCATCTGGTTTCAACTCAACTGAGTTATACAGGATTCACCGTGTGGGTAAATGGCCTGGGACACTGGGATGAGGATACAGTACTGTTCCTGTTAGGCCAGGACCTCCAATGTGAGTCTCTGCCCACACAGACCAGCCATCTCCAAAGACAGCTGGCGCTCTCTGTGGGCATTCATGGTAGGGAGACAGCTGGCTTTCAAGACCCACAAAATCTGCAACCCAGAAGGGCCCTGGAATCATTGAGGAGAGGGGCCTCCAATCCATAGGATGATCCCAAATATAACATGGGGCTGTGTGGGTCTCCTGCTGCCTGGATGACCTGACTGGGGTCCTGCTAACCACACTGTGTCTTAAAAGGACCATGGCACGGTACTCTGCATGGGGCTGCTTGGGAGGCAATAGCCAGCCATCAAGCCAGCTTCCTCCCGTCAGGTGGGGACAAAGAAGGTAGAGGGAGGACAGCCCCAACCCTCCTTTAGCACCCATTGGCCTGACCCTGCAAACCCATCTCATGCAAGTATTCCTGCTGCAGCTGCCAATGGGACTACTCGCCTGAATCACAGCCCCAGAATCAGGCACCATGTCGGGGAGCGACTAGGGAACGGGGGGATGGGACAGGAGGAAGAAAACAAGGGGCCCTGTCGGGGAGAGGAGAGATTGCAAGGTTGGAGATGGCACCTTTCGCTCCCCAAGAGGATGGGTGGCCCCCCCAAATCCTGAAGCCAGCCTGGAAGGGAGAAGCTCCACCACCTGTCTGTCAGCCACTGGATCTGCAAAGCCGTCACCCCCGCCCCGCCTCCCGCATGCCCTGGCAGGTTGCATGAGCCAAACTGGATAGAGGGGATTGGCCTTGTTTACAGACACACGGCGAGCTGCTTAAAGGGGCTCTAAGTCTGTGTTTGATGTGCAAACCGTCAGCTTTGCTGCCGTGCCTTTGTCAGGCTCTGCTCATCCTTCTGCGTCTCCCTCTCTCTCCATTAAGATTAAAAGTGCTTTGTGCCATCATCCTCTCTCACGGCAAAGCCCTCTCTCGAGCCACTGCCGCACCTCGCCTGCTGCCTCATCTTTATCTGATCCAGTTGGGAACTACTTCTATCTGCTCACTGGGCTCACTGGCTGCCCTCCGCCCCCCTCCTTTCTCGCTCTACCTTTTCATATGTTGCTAAGCCTCTTTCCGAACCTCCGCAGCGCAGGTGGCCTCCGTGCATTTCCAAGGTGGACAGGCCCCAATATTTTTCCATTCGCCAGGTTACAGCCCGGCTGCAACCCCCCTGAATGCCGGTGTGAGGAGGGGACTGGACGGTTTTCAGGGAACACAGCAAAATTCAAGGTCGGGACGCAGTGGGCTTTGGAAAGAGGGAAATTGTGGGGAAGGAAGGAATACACTGACCCCTGCTACGTACACGGGACTGGTACAGCCAGGCATCAACTGCAGGTATTTTCACAACAGTGCTTACCCTACACTGTACAGTTAACCCAGGTGATTGGCACCCGAGTTAGCCAAGCCTAGGTGGGAGCATCCCCAATACAAAGCCTTATCTGCATCACTATGTCCTTACTGTTCCTGCACTTGCTCGCCTGTGTCTGGGGAGATAGCCATAGTTCTTTGTGCTGAGGTGCTCTAGGATTCTTTCCCAGTCAACTGCGGGAAAACTTATCTGTCCCTTGTGGGGGGAGAAGGGGGCTTGTGAGAAGGCATTGGAGGACTCTGAGCAGTCGAGTAATTTAACCTTGAGTCCTCACTGCAAAGTGGGCAGGTTCCAACCCAAACTAAAGCGGAGCTCAGTTCTAACCGACCCTGCCTGCCAGGTAAGCTAAGCCAGGCTGAAAGCACTGGGCCAGAAGTTCTTCTGTATAGATGGCAGAGAGGGCTAAGGCTAAAACCTGGATAAAAGCCACCGCTAATTCTGCAGCGTAGACCCACCCTAGATTTCACATGGCATCTGAACATTGTTTTGATCAGTGAAGAGCAGCACAATCAATCAGCGGAGATTTAAATGTCCCTGCTTATGCCGTGTTCACCGCTGCCAGAATCAACAATTCCTTTGTTCTAGTTCAGAAATCACCAGTATCAGTACTGAGCAGGTGTGTGCGGCACCCAACACGATGAACTTGGGTGCTGCGCAGGGTGGGCAGAAAGACAACTCTTACCATTTGAGAGCCTATTTCAAAGTCAAACTCATATAGGGCCTGATTCTGCCAGCCTTACGCTGCCCAGCTGACTAGTTCCAAGGGGACTGCTTGCTGAGTCAGGGGCTGTGCAATGCAGAGGAGAATGAGGGGAGCTGGCCCTGGATTATTATTATTTTCCTTAAATAAAAGGCCCCGGGCCATGACTGCTCTCTACCCCACTGTAAATCCAGAGTGACTCCACTGAGCTCAGTAAAGCTGCTCCATATGCACAAACGGTTACAAAGAGCGGAATTGGGCCACTGACTGTGATAGGGAACTTGGGAACCATTTCTGAAGAAACTGGGGTCAAGCTTCTGGTCTCAGTTACTCTGCCAGCCTGCGAGTTACTCTAGATTTACCTCATCACAACACAGAGCATAGTCTAGGGCCTGGAGTTTAAATTTGGGCTTCACAACAGCTACTTCCCTCCTCCTCGGAGCATTCACTAACCGCACATCTGGATTGCTGGCCTCAGCCCCTTTCTTCAAAGGGCCTCTGAATGGGAAGCCCTGTGTTCCAGCTGCTGACCAGGGGAACAGACACAGGTGCTGAAATGTCTGTTCTTCCTACTGCGGGGGCTGGGGGGCAGGCTGGGGGCTAATGGAGGCTTTAGCCATGTCACTCCCATTCAGTGCGTGAGCATAACTCCCTGTACAGCTAACAGAACATACACACATTGCGGGAAGGATATACCCATTGTGGGGCTTGGGGATTTTACCCAACACTTCATTCTGGGTCACTTCTCTCCATGTTAAACCCGGCCAGGAAAGGAGGAAAAAATGAAGACTAGCAAGAAAGGGGCGGGAGGCGGAGGAAACCTTGAGCTGGAATGCATTCCATGAACCAGTGAATGACCAGAAAACGTGAACGTGGCAGCTCCTCCCTGGTCCAGGGCACCAGGCTGGCTCCTGCAGAAATCCAAGCGTAGCACTGATAATAATTATCATAAATCTTTGGTGTTGGACAGCGGACCCAGCACACACAGGGTTGCTCCACGATTAAGAGATCTCCGTAATATCTGAAGGTCCCCAGTGGGGCCAGAGCAGCGAGATGCAGCTAACATGCATCAAACACATAAGAATATCTCAATCATTACTGCTGCCAATGGCGGCTCCGAAACCGATCGATAGGGCAATTAGATTTTATCAGCACACGCCTTTCGGCCTCCTCTTCTGCTGTCTTTGCAAAAGCCTTGGTTAGATCTGCGTTTTCGGGGCCCTTTATGTCTTGCTGAGAAACGACAGCTTGACCAGAGCATTGTTTTTTGCAGGTGGGGGTTGTTCTGCCTTGTTTTATGTTTTCAAGGTTCAAGAAACGGGGAAAGAATCAGACAGAGTTAAGCTGGGAGCGATTCACAACCAAACCTCCCATTATTAGTAATATTATTTATCATTTGCACTACTGTGTACCTAGGAGTCGTAGCCATAGAGCAGGTGCTGTACAAACCTCCTGTCTTCACTACACACACAGAACACTTGCATAGGGAAAACACAACCCCGGATGTAAAATCCCTGCAGTCAGACTGCATGTCTGCAATCCCTGCATGTCAGCAGGAGAGAAATTACAAGGACTAGTGGTGAGAGCAGGGGGAACTGGCAGTCAGGAGACCTCCACCACTGATTTGCCCTATAATCCTGGGCAAGTTTCAGAGTAACAGCCGTGTTAGTCTTTATTCGCAAAAAGAAAAGGAGTACTTGTGGCACCTTAGAGACTAACCAATTTATTTGAGCATGAGCTTTCGTGAGCTACAGCTCACTTCATCGGATGACTTTGCCCCTCTATGCCACCTTTGTGTGGTGCTTTAGAGACCCTCATTTAAAAGGCACTAAATATGGTATTGCAGTTTCTGTGGCCAGAATCTACCCTAGGCAAGTTAACAATACCTCCTTTCTCCCACTCTTTCTCAGTCTTTTTGATGCACACTGAAAGCTCTTTGGGGTTGTGACTTCTCTTACGATGTGCATGTACAGCGCCTAGCACAACGGGGCCCTGATCTCTGTAGCTACTGTGATACAAACAACAAACAACAACAACAGTGAGCGCTCAGTATTATTTTCTCTCCTCATTATTAAGCAGATTTAGCACCAGCTAAGCCTCCAGGCTAACCCGGCACTAAGTTTAAAGCACTTCAGGTGGTAAATCAGTTGTGGCATTTCCCCCTTGCAAAAAAAAAAAAAAAAGTCAACAGTGGCAGGGGCCAGAGTTCTGAGTTTCCATTCCCTTTGGCCCTGCCTGGTCCACATCAGGGAATCTGCTAGCAGGACAGTGGTGTAGCACACACACTAATGAGAGACAGCTGTCAGGCTCTGCTCCCAGTTGGGCAGAGATCGTTCCTACAAGGAACCTGCCTCCAAACAGCAGGAAGATCAGGTTTAAACTGCCCCTGTGGAGCCGCACAGACCCTCCTGCCCCACCCTCATACTCCCAGTTTCCCCCAGCACCTCCCTCCACACTTGTCAACTCCTGTTAGAATCCATCCTGTCCTCAAAGGCTCTGTCCCTTGCCCAGCGGCCTCTCACTGTCCCTCCGGTAGAAAACACAGGCCTATTTCAGCACCTCTCTCTCAGCTCACATGTTCTGTACAATCTGAGCCAGGCTTTGCCACTCGGACACTGCGCTGCACTAACACCAACCCAATCAATCAAAGCCCAGGCGTTTCCCCACCTCTGGGATTCTGGATGCCTCCGGGGGTGGGGTGGGGTGGGATTCTTTTTTGTTTGTTTCCCTTGTCATCATTCCATGTTGCTGAGAACAGAGCACACTTTGCTCCTCTTCACTGCTGCAGATCTCAGAGCATTTCATCAGCCTCAATTAGGTCTGGCAACCTCTCCACAAAGTAAACAGTATTAAGCCTGTTTTCACAAATGAGGTCAGCTGAGGCACCAAGTCACTTGGTCAAGGTCACACACACCAAGTCAGTGACAGAACAAGGAAAAAGAACCCAGGAAGTCCAAAATCCCAGGCTCTGACCACTAGATAGCACTGTCTCCATCACCTTAAGAAATGGTCACATAGGTACGTTTCAAGCCAGCCCCTTGGTTCTTGGCTGCAGCAGTGCAGGAGAATACAGCTCAGAGATAGGTCCGTCAGTGCAATTTGCAAAGGAAGGAGGGATTCCAGCCGAAAGGGTGAAGCCTATGAGCTGCACTCCTAGAGGAGCAGTGCCGGGTTGCTGCTGGGGAGACAGGAGGGATGTCACACATTTTAAATGCTTGTGCCCACCAGCTGGGTAGAACTGCATAGACTCCCAGTCTGCAAAGCATGGACCCTACACCCAAAATTCCCCAAAGCTCAGGACCCTGTTTCAACCCATTATCTAGAGATGGGCCAACCTGCTAAATTCAAAGCAGTGACTGAAATTCCCCCCAACATCCTGGGGGGGGCATCCCTAGGGTTTTGCTGTCGCTAGGGTTTGGGTTTAAACCCCTCTCATTGGGTCTGACCAGACTGAGAAGAACGAGCTTCTTCTTGGGCAGGCGCTGGGCTGAAGGGAGCCAATCAATGCCAGTTCTCTTCTGGTCAATGTCCAGTTTCACACATTAAAATTCCTCCTGGTAAATCTACAGGGAGGATATTTGCCTCTTTCATTAAAAAAGTTGGTTTCCCCATTTCTGAACACACTGGGGCCTGACTCTGCAAACCTGTGCTCACAAAGCACCCGGCCATGCCTGTAGCAGTCAGCAGGCGTCTGGGCTGGGGAGGAGACTTTGAAAAGTTTGCGTTGCGCTCTCTCCACCGGGTGAGTTTGTTTCTCTTTCTTTGCTGCACGGGCACCTCACCCAGGCATTAGCAAACCAAGGCCCCAATTCGGCCAAGCATTACAAGCACATGCTTATGTGCTTGGCTGAATTGGGACTGAAAGGCCTGAGGCAGCTCCCACCCATGTCACTGGGAATCCTTCCATTAATTTTAATGGCAGCTGGAGCAAGCCATAATGAAGAAGGAGACCAGCTGCACCTGTTGGTATCGCACGTCCGCTATTGTGCACGCACCCCCTCCCCCACCCACCGCATCCTTCATTTTGTATTGCATCCCACAGTGAAAACCAGATTCTGGATTAAGCTGCATAATCAATGCCAATGATTTACATGCACACGCAAATGCATGGCTTTCAAGCAAAGACCCTAACAACATACACAGGCACATCTAAATTCTGGCTTTGGCAGATTGGGGACCAGCAGAATAAAAACAGAAAGACAATAATCTGCCTTTTAGTGACAGGGCCCAAACAAACAGCCAAAAATTATAGGGTTAAAGACGACATTAACATCAACACCCTGCTCCCAAGTGTGGTTTAAAAAAAAAATACAAGTTAAAAGCACTGCTCAGAGAGCAAGAGTTCCTGAGAAGTAAAGCTTCATTAGCTTGTTGGGACCATAACCTCCTCTAAACCAACCCGAAAAGCCTCCCTACTTGGTAGCTTTCAAAAATACACCAGTATGGGCCTGATTCTCTGCTACTTACCACTGGACTCAATGGAATCACTCCTGATTTACACTGGAGCAAGTGGCCCCTTTTCTGTCTAAAGTCCAGATTTCTGATCTCTGCTACACCAGCGTCAACCTAGAGCAACTCCAGTGAGTAAAGTGACTGAGGATCGACACCAGTGTAAGTGAAATCCGAAACCGGCCTTGGTTCTAGATGCGAATGGCGAGGGCTAACGATCCACCCAAACCCGCAATGGTTCTCCCAGCCGCTAACCATCCTGCGGGAGAAATTCACCGATTGTGCAAGAAACAAGCGGAACTGACAGTGTCACCAGTGTCCAGTGCCCCACTTGTTGACTGAGGCACATTCAGCACCGTGGCATCCCTTCCCGTCACTTCCTCCCTGATGCTGACATCCCGAGGGGCGTAGTGCACGGCTCTAGCGGAGCATCTCTGGTTCAGCACGACAAGCAAGGGGAAGCCAGGTGAACTTGTGTAAGCCAGGCAGCAGTACGAAGCCATGCAACTATCCTTGCAAAGAGTTGGCAGAGACGGAGGCAGCATGGGGAGCCTCTGATTAATGCAATTACAAATCAAACCGCGCTCTCCGCGCCAGGCCTTTCTGCATCACTGGCCACTAACCCCGGGGACATTTCACTTCTTTGCTGGAGCGCTGTCCTCTCCTGCATTTTAACACAGACCACTAGATCTGAGAATGAAGCGGAGCTGAAATCTCACACGACCGCATGACTTTAACCTTCCTAAAAAAAAAAATCCTTCCATGTTCGTCTTTGTCCACGAATACTGAGAGACTAGCATGACTTGCTCTGAAATTTAATGAAGCCGGCTGGCCAAAGTGAGGAAGGGGAAGGGAGGGGAGGGGAGGGAAGAGAAGAGGGAAGTCAGCAAACCCGAACCCAAGCCGCAGCTGGAACTTTCCTCCTCCCAGCAAATGAGGACAAAAGAACCAGGCGCCCTGGCTGCTTACCTGCTGCTCCTAAGCCGACGTCGATGCTGTTTCTCTTGAATTCACAGCGACTCTGGGTCTCTGGCATAACGAGTTGGCGGCTCTGATGCAGGTTGGAGATGATGGTGGAGAGGTCGTTATCACGGCTGCAACAGAGCAGAAAAACGCCAAGTTAAGGATATCCTATTTACCATCCCATAATTGATTTTCGTGTCTGAGAGAGTGTGTGCGTGCGTACGCACGGCTTTTTTGTTTGCCCCAGAGATTTCTGAATTATGAAGAAGATTTTTCCCTCCCTCCCCCACTTGAAGTTCCTAGGCAACCTCCTCCATTTTCGGGGAGGGGAAGCCCCTGTAGGGTAAAGCACTTTCCAAGCAGCAGGCTTGCTCCCAGCAAAGAGCTCTGCAGAGGCCAGCACCCCTGTCTCCCCTTTGCCAGAACACAAGGCCTAAGTACCTAGAAATGTGGTGGAGAAACAGGCATGACTATTCAAGAACTGACAAAAACCTGGAATTCAAATGATTGACAGATGGATGATAGTTAACAGACAGCTACTTGGCTAGCTTTTCAGTTCCTCCACTGTGTGTGAGAGAGACTCTTATTTTCTTGCATAATATTTTTATATGCAGAGAATTACCATAGATTCAGCGACAGTTGTGGCCCAGAGTGAAAGAATACAACCTTGTTTATAAGTCCTATTTTCAGCCCATCATTCTAGCTGATACCAAAATAATTACTCCTTCCTTCTTGGATCAGAACACACAGAGTGAGCAATTAAATATTATTTTCCCTGTTATCCTTGCATCAAAGCTGCTTCAAAGTGGGCTCGCTTTAGCTCAAATATTTTTAAAATGTTCTCTTCCCCCTCCCCCCCATGGAATGCATGAGCAAGAGAGAAAGAGAGAGCAAGCACAAAGATGTTCACAGTAGCAACTACTAGAGTTAAGATGGCAAAATCACTGTAGTACAAAACCTGTTTTCATTCCTTACAGAGAGGTAGCAGCTATGGATACACATAAATACAGACAATATACAACATATGAGAGAGAGAGAGAGCTATGTACATATGTATTTCTAGAAGCTAACACTGGAAATCCTCCATCTATTTTTGTTTAATGCTGTATGTTAAACCACCAACATGTCTAGCATGGAGTGCCTTGTCCTATGCTAAACACTGGAGCTATTCTCCTTCCTCTCGCCAGCCAGAGGACGATAAACCAGATCTCACGGGAAGAAGTTAAGACATTTGAAAAAAAAAAAAAAAGAAAGTCAGAGGGCCCCTTACAACCGTTACTCACACGACCAGCGCACCCGCTCTGTGTGTCTGCAACACACAGCACATGACCACCGACTCGCTGGCTTGCAGGAGACCGTCCTAACCTGTGACCACCAGGGCAACTCAGAGGGTGCATTATCTGCAGAATTACCTCGCAATCATCTCCCCTTAAATATCCCCCATCACCACCCCCCTGACCATCAGAGCGAGGAAAAACCACAGAGCTGCTCAAATGCTCCAAAGAGCCCATCCCCAGTGGAGAAGCGGGGGCTAATCTGTCGTCTAGCTCTCTGCTAATCAGATAAGTTTATGACAGAAAGTCTTTAGACAGAGGTACTTTCAGCAGGCGTCTGGCTCCAGATTTTCACAGGATGCAGCAGACAAAAACAGACTTTGTTTCAGCAGCCATGGTCATCTGCCCCATTACTCCCCCCTCCCATCTCGGGGCCAAAATCTCAAAGCCTTTTAGCTTCCACTGCTTTATTTTCCTCCACTAAACCAGTGCAGATTCCCCCTTACGCAAGCAGAAGGCTAATTACTTAAGCAAGTCCGCAGGTGAGTGGGAAGCCCCTTTCCCCCTGTCCCAAGCAGTTTTGAGTCTTATCCTCTGTGAGCTGCCACCTTTAAGACGCATTATGCAAATATTTTGGTGTTTTAAGTCATTTATGAGATTAATTTGAAGTGATTATCGGTTCTTTATAATCGTGTAGATCAATAACTGGATGCCGGGTACAGAGGACAAATGCAGACAAATGCTGCCCTCAGCACAATGGGGAGGGGGGAGGAGGTGGGCTGGGGAGGAGCACAGAGGGCGAAAGGCAGAGAGCTGGAAGAGAGAAATGGGATAATAGCACCTTGCATCCTGAAGGAGTCCAGAGCACTGCAATGACGTGGCCATATCTACAAAACTATACCTAGGGATCACTTTATCCACCACTGAAATGCAGCTGCCGCTCAGATAGAACATGTCAACTGTTTTAACAGTGGACAGCAACACTGCATGACTCTCAAGCAGTGGTTTTCAACCTTGCAGACTCCTAAAAATTTCTGAATGGAGGTGCAGACCCCTTTGGACATCTCAGATATAGTCTGCAGACCCGCAGGGATCTGCAGACTACTGGTTGAAAACCACTGGTCTTTGGTAACAACGACCTTTTTCAGACCCCTTAAGCCAGTCTGCAGACCCACAGGGGTCTGTGGACCACAGGTTGTAAACCACTGCTCTAAACGAAGAAAGAAAAGCAGAAAAACTATACTCAGTGTAAATTACAAGGGGAAATCTAGGAGGAATGAAACACTACCCCAGAACGAGCACTGTCTTTCAAAATACACGAGGGTATTTTTGATGACCTCAAATACTCAGGACCACAGGTTCAAAAAAGTATCTCAGCATCCAGGAAAAAAGAAAGGTACTATGGTAGGGCATCAAAGTACCAACGAAATCACCAGCAGCACTTCAAAGAACAGGTAGGTATGTGCTCCTGAGAGCGTTACGAATGCAAGTATAGTACTGAACAGACCCAACTCAGCCTGTGAAATCTGACGGGATCCTAGTAGAACATATAGCATGGCTGAAATTCCACAGCTGAAGATGAATTGATCTCTATGGGGAAAATAAGGCCAAAAAAATGTGGGTAGTTGATGTACCAGAGAAGGGGGCTGGGGCAGCTTTTAATGGGGCGAATTATTCCCAGGCATTCTCTCTTGTCTTAGACTGTAAGCTCTTTGGGATAGGGTGTTTGTACAGCATTTAGCACAGGGCTCCTAGGTCTACAGTTATATAAACAATAATTGGTGCTTTCCCATGTTTCCATGGACATTTGAGTTACATTTCTTTTTGGTAAAGACTTGGGAGCTGTTTTAGGAAGGCTTTAAATGCTGCAAGCCAAGTCCCCCATTGTGTCTAAGGAGGCATCTTCCACTCTTATTCATGAATGGGACCTTTATTAAAGGATATGGTGGGGGGGAGGTTCTGCCCAGCTCCTACCAGGCTTTTCTAGGTCATGCAAGACAAAGAGAAGGCAACAGGATCTTTGTGCGTGCAATGGTTAGGAGAAGCTCTGCCATCTCTGCCCAATGTGTGACAGAGGCAGCCAGAAAACCCAGAGCTAATCTGCGGGAGAAAACCCTGACTTCAGAAAATACCCTTCTGAACTCCCAAAATGTAGACAGCTTCTCTGAAGTTCAAAAATGACTAATATTTCTTCCATTCCTACTCCCGCTAAAGTCAATGAGATTTTATCCCTTGACTTTAAGAGGAGCAGGGCTGCACCCTTAATATATTAGATTCTGTATGATCATTCAATGTGGCATTTACAAATGTTCATGCTGTTTGCCTCCACCACTTGACTGGAAGCTCAATCACCCTGTTCGCCACTTTATCCACAAAAATTATACCTCACACTTTTATACACACCGTGCTCCCTCTTGACTTATATCTACTGTAATGTACTGGCTGCGCTCACGTCTGCAGTAGAGCTTACTGCCCTCTACTAGCTGATCCACAGAGAGGATAAGGGACCTACCACTGCTGCCTCCTAAGGGACATTTCCTTTAGCTCAGGTGGTAGAGTCCCAGCTTTGGAGGCAACTAACGTCTATGGATTATGGCCCCAGCTCCCTCTGTGTGTGTGACATAGCTAGTCTACAATACACGGATTCGTTATACAAGTCCCCTACTTCTGGTCTGCCCTCATAACCTCCGACCTTTCTTACAGCCAAGCCAGCGAAAAGTGAGCAGAACCAGCCTTAGAACACAAGCAAAGCAAACAGCCTCTTGGGGCCCTGTTTCTTCGTGCCCATGATAAAAACCCCAGGTGCGTTTCATCAGACCCTTCCAGAGGAACCGGATGCTTTTGGAGAAGATTTGACAATGACCATTTCCCCCAGTGGGACTTTGTGTCTAAATTCTAAGCATCTCCACCTCTCCCCACTCCTAATATACCTGCCAACAGTCCCAACCTCTCCTTCAAGACATTCAGGGGCCTGGTCCAGTTCCTACTGAAATCTTTCCACCAAGCACACAGGGCGTTAGATTGGGGCCCCAAATGCATAGCATGCAAGTCCCATGCAGCGTGGGCCAGTGGAAGGCACGTCTAACCAGCAAGACTGGTACAGAGACAGAACCTCTGCCCTCCTGCCAGGCCACTGACAGTTCTGTGCACGTCCTTGGCTTGCTAATGCTGCACAAGAGGCAACATTACATTACAACAGACTATGAGCACTTTGTGGCAAGAGCTGTCTCTTGGCCGGTGTCAGCCTGGTGCCCAGCACACTGGGGGTGCGACCGCAGTATAAGGAATTAACAAATTCATGGGCTCAGGGCTCCAGCAGGGTCAGCCAATGTTGGGTTAAGAGACGCCTTTCCTGGAAAGCAAGAACCGGGCAACTCAAACCTGCAGCAACCTCATCTAGAAGATGGGTTTCTGAACTGGTTTTAAGAGCCTGGTGCCTGCTGAAATTAACTAGGGCTCAGATAATGTGGGCTTCTCCCAAAGCCTGGGTTTGAAGGCCAGCCACTGCCCTGGCACACACATGCAAACCAATCTGCTCTTCAACTGCCTCTGGGAATGGTTCCAAAAGGGCCGAATCATGAAATCCACACACACTTTTTAACTTGGTCCTTACTAGGGAAAATTCCCACTGAAGCCAATGGGGCTTTTGCTTCAAGGATGGACTAACATCTGGGAAAGCCCGTTGGGATTTAGGCCACAATGAGACAGGCAGTGTGATCTAGTGGGTAAAGCACTAGCTGAGAGCCAGGAAACCTGGGTTTTATTCCAAGTTCCATAGCCGACCTGTTATGTGACCTTTTGCTCCTCTCTCTGTGCCCCTCCTGCTCTTTGTCGGTTTAGACTGGCATCTCCCATGG